TGCCGACCCAGATCAGACCACGGGACCCATAGTTTGGAGTTCTATAGGTTTCTTCCTCTGGTCCGGGGGCTCTCGTGTTTCTGTGCTCGTGCAGTTGGGAGTGATTGGGGTTCAGTACAATCTCCCGTGACCAATGAGCGGGGTGCTGTCAGGGGTAACCACATCTGTCAAGCGTTCTCGGCCAATAAAGAGCGGCGCGAGGCGGACCACAGGTGCGCGCCTCTGCGTCCCTTGGCACTGCGCCCGGAGATGCTGAGAGAGACGTGAGGCTGCCCCGTGGCGCGCACAGAGTTCCTCCTTTAAGTCCAGCTGCCTTTGGGCCAGTATCACAGTCCGGCCCCAGTTTGGTCACAGTCCGTGATGGCGACTGCCACGTCCAACCACTACGGGGTGCTGAGCCCCGGTAGCGCGCCGCCGCCGCACTCTGAATCCGGGAGCCTACAGCAGGCGGCCGCGTACAGGGACGCGCACAGTTTGCTCCACAACGAATACGGCACGTTACCGGGCCACGCGCACCAGTGGATCACGGCGCTGCACGCGGACAGCGGAACGCCGTGGCCGCACAGCCCCCTTTCGGATCAGGACGTAAAGCCCGTTCTGCACGAGGGCGAGCGCGAGGAGCTGCAGACTCCCAACAATCTGCAGCAGCAGCAACAGCAACAGCAGCAGCAGCACACACATCATGATGCCAGGACATGGCGCAGCGGTGCGAGTTCCACGCATATAGCCACCATGGCGACCTCTGAGCAAAGTCTAGTGTACGCGCAGTCCGGCTTCAGCCTCGTGCCCGCGGGTGAGCAGGGCTCCATGCACCACACGCTGCGGGACGACGAGCAACACAGCCACAGCCCGCACCTGAGTGAGCACGGCCCGCACACGCACCACCAGCAGCACGCGGGCCAGGACCAGTCCGACGAGGACACCCCGACCTCGGATGAGCTGGAACAGTTCGCCAAGCAGTTTAAACAGAGGCGCATCAAATTGGGGTTCACGCAGGCGGACGTGGGCCTGGCACTGGGCACGCTCTATGGAAATGTCTTTTCCCAGACCACTATCTGCAGGTTTGAGGCTCTGCAACTCAGCTTCAAAAACATGTGCAAGCTCAAACCGCTGCTGAACAAGTGGCTCGAGGAGGCTGACTCCACGTCGGGCAGCCCCACCAGCCTGGACAAGATTGCGGCGCAGGGACGAAAAAGAAAGAAGCGCACCTCCATTGAGGTAGGGGTCAAAGGCGCACTGGAGAGCCACTTCCTCAAGTGTCCGAAGCCCGGTGCCGCGGAGATCAACTCCCTTGCGGACAGCCTGCAGCTGGAGAAGGAGGTGGTAAGAGTCTGGTTCTGTAACCGGCGACAGAAGGAGAAGAGGATGACCCCCGCAGGGGGCCCTCTCCCGGGGACAGAGGACATGTATGGGGACACTCCCCCTCACCATGGAGGACAGACTCCAGTGCAGTGACCGCTGTGGGCACAATGTGCCTCTGTTCTCTGGATCTGATCGCCCCAGGAGGCCTGGACCGGACTCAGGAACCGCGCGGCACTGACGCAGAGCCGCTGCGTGGTGCTCGTGGTAGGAGCTGATGTGGGGCTGCTGAGAGGAACCAAAACAGGCTAAAATGCATTGTTTGAAAGACAGGCTCGTGCCACTGTGTATTATACAGAGGACTGTGCACCAGACAGTGCACTGAGTTTATGGTGTAGCCACGCCATCTTCATCATCTCATCAACAACAAAGCAACATGGGGTCTGCAGCGCAGGCTCAGAAGCAGAAACTATATAACCATAAACCTGTTATTATTATTATTATTATTATTATTATTATTATTATTATTATTATTATTATTATTATTATGCGTTATATTATACATTTAGATTGGCCTATAGGCCTACATTTATCATGGTTGGTTATTGTGCAGAGACACATAGTCCAATAATAATAATAATAATAATAATAATAATAATAATAATAATAATAATAATAATAATAATAATAATTGGTTGTGCAGACGTTTCTTGTCTGTGGCCTGTTTACACTGTGTTATTGTTTTGATCCTAAAGCTGTGAGACCTGAGACTGTCTTGCTGGAGACAGACTCCAGCTCATCTTGCCTTCCTTTGCTAATAACAATAATGATATCAATAATTCCACCTATACCAGCTCTGGCCGCAGGCTGCTCTCCTGCTCTTACTGTGTCTGATGAACACTGTTCGTGGGATGTATTTACATTCGTTTATGGCTTCGTTTGTTCGTTCGTGTTTTCTCTGTGAGTTTGTGCCAATGCACAACGTGTAGTTGTGCCACCTTGACGCTGTGATGGAGGCTGAGTTGATGGTGGAGGTTATTGTCAGATTCTACAGTCACTGAGAAACTTAAACCCAGTAGGAGGATGGGACTTTTCTCTCTCCTGGACTGATACTGAAGGGCCTCTCTGAATGTATTTGACCAAAAGGAAAATGCGCAAAACTAATTTTACGCACATTTTGTAATTGCATATTTTTGTTTAATTTATTATAAAATTGGCTTTATTTTAATTAACTAGGCTATTTCTGCCATTGACACTTCCTCCTCTCCATCATTGGAACTTTAAGGTTTGAAATAAACCAAACAAAAAAAGATTGACCTGAAATCTGTGACTTCACCAAGAGTATGGAAAATAGCGATTGCACAATTTCTAAATGCTTTTTGTCATTAAATCGTATTTGTATATACCACTGCAGTCTTTGCACATTATTTTATTTCATAGAATCTGTGTGGATTTACATATTCTAAAGTCATATGTGTCTTTTAATTGTTAGTTGTGTCGAGTTTTACGCGTTTCAAAATCGTCTTGATTCCAGGGAAACAGCAACTTTCACATGCAGTAGTCTTAAACTCGTCGTTTATTTGGAGTGCATGGAGCTCATCCAGAGTTCTCTTTGTGCAAAATGTATTAAAAAAAACAGCTACTTTTACACTTTTACACAAATAATGATTATTTTATTTTTGAAACACCGCAGGTTTGAGCAAATTTAGGTGAGAAAAGATTGCAAATGCATAAAAATATTCCAATAAAAACATCTGTGCAAGCAAATAATTATTAAATTAGTTTATAACATTTATGAAACGCGTTAGTGTCAAAAGGTCACCCACTATTTGTAGTCTATATTAAGCAATATTTTATGTCTATGTTGATTTATCATTTGTCTGTACACACCAAACACTTCTTCAAATTCACACATTTTCAGGGCAAGCAACACAGGAGATAAACTGGTCCACTAGTGCCCTCTCGTGGACAAGATATGAAACACAACCGGTTGAATCATCCATTGATGACGTAATTATGGCTACATACGCTCACAAGTTATTTTTTTTCTTCTTCTTTTTTTTTTTTTTTTTTTTTTTTTTAATAATAGTAAGAATATAAATAAAATAAAAACTATGAAGCTAAAAAAAAAAAAAAAAAAAAAAAAAAAAGAAAGAAAAGAAAAGAAATATGCCCTCGAAATGCCAAAATTCAAATACAATGGTCGTATCAATGGGGAACCGTCTGCCCAATATACAGATTCTCACATGTACACCTCGCTTGTTGTGGCAAACACACACACACCCACACACGCACACACACACACGGTGCTCTGACTCTATGCCTTCCCTTGAGCCACTGTTGCTATTGTTAATTGTGTAGCAAACAGAATCTTCAGGGATTGAAAAACAGTAGCATTAAACACAGGCCAAGTGTTTAAACATGGTTAATTCTCATTATTCACAGCACAATGGTCAGGGATTCGGGATCCAGTCTTTCTGTGTACTGAGTACATGTCCCATTTCCTTCAGCTTCATCCTCACTCAGTATAAATAAGGGTCCCTCTGTGTAGCACTGTAGTTGTCCACTGTTCCTGACAGATGGCCCCTGCTTCTTTGCAGGATGAGACAGCATAAACTTACCTTAATACTTGCTCAGATATAGGCAGACCCTTCCACAGTGACCACATCATTTCATGGTTTTATTTTTCTCAGATTTTTCTCTTGTCTTTGGCTCTTGGGCTCCGACACAGAAGAAAAGGGCAGAGAGTTAATCCTGGCTCATTGTTGGTGGGCCCAGTATTGTCATATGTAGCTAGCACAGAGGGAGGGAATTATGGGAAAGATATGAGCCAGGGCCAAGCAACCTCTAAGTGTTACAGAAACAGCGGCTAATACCACTCTCCTCTGCTCAAATGGACATGTATTTCATTTGAAGTTGTACTATGTTACTTTTCTGGGGGAGAGTCAGCTACCTGCCAGTTTCCATGAATATGTTATTGCTTTAGCAACAATATGGCATTAAACTTATTTATCTTCATGGAGATATTTACCTGACACCACAAGACCAAGTTACAGGCCAGATCTGTGGATAGGACATTCCAATCACAGTAAGAATGCATGTTTTTGAGACATAAAAAAATGTAAATCAGGCAAATTTAATAATTTGGAAAATTACAGGTAAAGCAAGTTTCGAACCATCATTCAGAGAAGTTGTGCCTTTAAAGGGCTCATGTTACACTATTTTCTGGTCTATGTTATAATGTTGTTTCCTCATCACAAACATATCTGGAGTTGTGTTTTCTTTCATTCACACATGTTGAATTCACAAACCCTGTGTATTTTAGTTCTTCTCTCAAACTGAAAACACTCCACCTTGTGATGTCATGGGGTAATACAAGAAGTGCTTCTAAGTGTTTTTATACTCCATACACCTTCACTGGAATCATTTGGACCATTTCAGCCCTAGAAATTACTTAGTGAAGCAATATAGGACCTTTAAAGTAAAAATGACAGTAATAGGAAATAGATAAATGTAAATAAATGTAGAAATGTTAATATAGTATTCAGTGGATTTCCAGTGGAGAAGCTATTTTTTTGTATCTTTTAGGCCCTACATGGTCTGACTGGAAGTGACTGTTGAATTTACAGAGACAACAATAAAAACAAGGCAGAGAAAATATCACAGGTATATTTAATGAAATCAGACAAGTAATCCATTGTCACGCAGCTCATAGGACACAATACATTCATAACATCTTAAGAGCTTTTACATCACATGGTTATTTTTTGTCTCTCTTATGTACACTCGGAGTTAGCACAAATCACAGACAACAACAGACAATGTTTATGGCTTCTATTCGTAAGTGAAGGATGGCCACTGAGCAGCTGGAGGAAGTAGGGACACAAGACTTTAGCAGAGTATTTCTAGTGAAAAGTTAAATGTTTTTATGAGAAAATTGTATGTAACGTTATGAAATAGGACCATTTTGGAGATACTAACAACAACTAACAGTGGACAAACATGCATGAGACTGAACAATGTTTGCTATAAGTATTCAAAGGAAGTTAATTATTGCACTGCACACACACCAGCCAAACAGCAAAACACAACTAAAGTGCAAAATAATCCTTGGTGCTGGATACAGTACACAAGAAATAAATAAGGCATTACATTTTAAAATTCAGACAACAAATAAATATAAATATAATACAAAATAAATAACGTATAAAATATGCTGGCACTGTTGTAAATTAAACATTACACCTTATGGATGAAACAAGACCACTAATTGGAAAGGAAGAACCGTTAGACAAGGACAGGTGATCATTGTTTCAAATTCAACTTCACACAGTTACAAGCACCATTTGTTTGGGATAACCTTATATATTCAATTTATAAACACTAATGATGGTCTAAGCAAACACAAAACTTTGGTTAATTTTAAATCCTGACGCTTTATTGTCCTTATGGTGGTCCTATTTAAGTATAATGCTTCTCACAAGTACTTTTATCAATCTCTATGGCACTCCATTGTTTATCTTTGCACTTTATAAATTTCCGAAATAGACTTTGGAGTATAGATCAGGAGTGAATGAGTGTGCTACTGCCTTCAAGATGTAGTAAACAGAAGACAATGTTCCTGTGGCCTAAATGTGCAACAGCAGAAGTATGTGCATTTGTTGAATGACAAACACACACCAGATTTGCACATTAACACAACATAATCAAACAATGACCAAAATGGACCCTTATTGCTTTGTCCCCTCCAAGCAACCTACTGTTCAACAAACTGAAGCCAGTGACAACAAATTCAATGAACACCACTGACTTAGACTAAGATCGTGTTTGACTAAAAGTATCAGGTGTAAAGGGAGATTTTCATAGCACGTACCAGCCATGCACATATATTTTTAATCTCGAATAAATCTATTTCTACATGATTGTTCCATTCGCTTGAATGTTGGATGCATTTTAGACTAATTGACTTTAGATGTGATAACAGTATTATAAAATGGATATGAGTGTCAATGATTAAAAATAAATATTGGGAGAAGTTAAGGAAATTTAGTTTGGCAAAGTAATTTTCAAAGTGCTTATGGTCCTTAGCTCTCCTGAACTTTCAATAACTAAATAAAGGCATTTATACAAATACATCACAATCATGTAGACAGTATGGGAATGAACAGATGAACTCTTGTGTCAAGACAAACTGGCACAACAATGGCTATTTACACTAATGTGAGACTCGTATTTGCAGGCTATCTATACTATTTATATTTTATATACTTTGTATATCTCTATCTATCAAGATTCAAATTGCTCATATGTACATTGAATTTGTTCTGTACAGTGGTCTATGTTAACACACACAGGCTGGACGGCTTTGGGGGTCACAGGGTCACGTGTAGTTGCCATGGTTACAGCAACATGCCGATAGATAAAGTTAAAAACTGTGACTGCAGATAAAGTTGTGGAGGAGTTACTCAGCAGAGGCATCATTGACTCCTGATTTCCCTAAAAGATTTAATCACCTCCACTGCAGTTTGCGTTATCATCCCTCTTTCCACCTGTACGTAAACCTCTCTGGTCATGCTCTAGGGGCACTGGAGAGAACAAGCATTTCACCAGCAGTCAGAGGTGCTCGATGTGTCGCTACGTTTCCTACTTTTTCTGCTTCGTCAACATTTGAACTGGTCCATTTCAGAGCACTCAGTGTCCATATCCGAGTCGTACAGAGAATGTCCCGTGGGGTCACTGTCTGGAGACTCAATGTCTTTAGGCAAGTGGGTCTGTTCAATGTACTGAGGGCTGTGAAGGGGGACTGGGCTATGGGCAGAGACAGGGGTGACGAGGGAAGGGGAGTCATCCTGAAGGAGGGAGGAGCAGTCAGAGCGCGAGTACAGGCCCAGGTCGGGGAGTTTGGAAGGGGAGTCACTGCGCTCTGTAGTGTCTGTGTAGTACAAGTCCTCTAGGTCCACAAACCATTCGGGCCAGTATCTCCGTCGGATGCGCTCACAGTACATGGCCAGGTTAATGAGCTCACCTGCATAAAACAAATAAAAACAAATCATTTCTAAGTGTTGTAGGATTTTAACTGTAGCATCAGTTCAATATTGGCATGCATTTCCTTTGTAAACTGAGTGGTATACAGGGATGAAGATGCTTAATGGACATCGAATAATAATAAATGTTGTGGTGGTTGGATAGGGGGTTCTAAATATTTAAGTGGATCTAACCTTTGATAAGTTGCTCTGGTCTGGATCCTGGTAGCGTCCACATGGCTGGAGCAAGGTGACTGAACACTGTCACATCCACTGTTGTAATTTTAGAGCCCATAAGGTATTTTTTATTACCTAAAAATACAAACAAGAATACACATGTGACATTAATATAATATAGATAATTATGCAGCTAAATTAAATCTAAAACTACAATTCTTGAATTGCTATGATATATATATATATATATATATATATATATATATATATATATATATATATATATATATATATATATATATATATATATATATATATATATATATTTTTTTTTAAATCTTATTCCTATAGAGACAGAAATACATGAATTATGCATTTTTCTTCATTCTAATTTGCTAAGGGTAAAGTAGCCAATCTATTCAGTTATTCTCAAAATAGCCACAGGGGGTCTGTAATGAGTTGCTTTCAAAACAGCTGCATTGCAAATTCTCCTCTACTGAAGGTACCAGGCCCAGTATGTACAACAGTGAAACTCAGGACTTCCAGTGGAAACTTTTCTTTCTCGACTAAAAAACTAAAGAATAAATGTATCTGATTTTTAATTCAAATATTTTTTTAAAGGCTTTTTTGTCAAACCTATATTATGGTATGCTTTTTCTTGTTTGCCTAATTTAAGATGTTCTTGTAGTCTAATTTAATAAAAAAATTACATTAAATTTACTATGAAATCTTAATAAAATATAGTATTTAATATCTTATCTTGCAGTGCTATTCTACTGGCCTCTTACCTAGCAGTGTAGCAAGTGTGCGCATGTCTCTCTCCATCAGCGCATAGACCTCCTCTTTAGAGAATCGTCCGATGCCGTGTCCGTACATTTCCCTCTTCACGATGCCTCCGGTCAGGTGACTCAGGATCCACTTGAGAACGTCACTCAGCGGCCCGCTCACCGACAGCATTTTCTGGGTCTCTTCCAGGTTGTCCACCCACTGACAGTATGCTATGGTCCTGAGACACAAGGTACAATTTTACTGCATTGTATTTCTGGTATTTTTTCTTGTGCAATTTATCATTAGGAACCTTTACAGCCTCGAAGAAACCACAGGAATAGTAGCTACACAATAGATATTTACAGGGCCTTACATTAAGCATGTCTTTTACTTTCATATGAATCCATTACAGGCTATTGAAACCCAAAGACCATTATAATTTATAATTCCACAAAACCACAGATTTATGGATCAAGCCACAAACTTTTTTGCCAAGCTCTAGCGACTAACCTCTTTGTGCACTCAATTTCTGAGCTTTTCTACTCACAACAAAACTTGAACCATATCAATTTGGTAAGGTTAATATAATTTTTGTTCTTTTTATCATGACTGTATACACATACAGAAAATTCTTTAGCGTAATTGCTGTTCAATTTCCAACAGAAATAGAAAAAAAAAATTATTAGAAAAAAATATATATATAATTGGAATTTTTTTTTTACAAATACCAATACATGAATACTGAAAAGTCCTTAAAACAGAAAGTGGAAATTCTTGAATAGCAGTTACTGTAATGCAAATCAAATATGTTCTAACCTGCATTGGTGTATGTTAAAAAAGAATACACCTCCTATCATAGCTATGAAATCCCAAAACAACCTACATCTAGAAAAATGCTGAGATCCTTTGCTGTATTTTTCCTAAGGGGGAATAGTTGTCCCCTCTTACCAGTAGAAGTGTTCCTCCACCATTTTGGTAATAGCTCGAGACATGGCGACCTCCTGTGGCGTCAGGCTCTTGTTCAGACTCACACCCAGACGCTCCTCCAGAAAATCAATGATAAACTCTGTCCCAAACACCTGCTCCCTGTTGTACTCGATCCACGGCATCTTTCCTTGTGGTGAGAGCTTCCCATCAAAGTAGTTCTGAAAAATACAACAAATTCACTCATTCTAAATCACTCTTATAGTTTAAAATCAAGCTGGGGGACAGGTAGAAATTGCTGTTTAACTGTCAGACTGCAGATGTCTCTGATCAATATCTCTGTAATTCTGTAAACATAATAACTGGTGCAAAGTTCAGTGTATTCCCTGTGATAATAGTTTTAGAAAAATGGTGCCATTATTCAACCCCAAATACATTTAAAAAATGACATTGTTATATTCTACGGTAGAACACAGATATTCTATTCATAATGCAGATGTTTTGACCTGGTTTTCTAGTTAATATAATTACTAAGTCTGTTCACATGAAACAAAAATTTACATAAAGGTTAATGTATTATGTGTCTACAAAAAAAAAACAACAGAAAAACAAACACAAAAAACTAAGAATGACAATTGTCTGTTTTGTTATAGCATTCAAAAACGTAAATTGCCAATACAGTGATAAACCCCCCTGCCTTTTGTTGGAAAATTATGGTGTTAAATTCTAGGATGTAATAAATGCTCTCCACTGAGCATTTTCCATTACATTTTAAAGATCAATTATATGAACATGGGCACATACTTTGTAAGGTAGGTCCACCATGCGGAGGTAGGTCTCCATCTTAAGGCAGAAAGGGGACAAAGACGGAGCACCAGATTTGGGCCTGGAGAACTGGTGGAGAATAATGGCATCCTTAGAGTCCAGCTCTTCCTCTTTCCTGTGTAGATAAAGAATGACCACACTGTGAGAATAGGCCTGTGGTTTATGGGCACATGTGGGAGCTGCTGATACAAACCTGGTCATCATCAGTTACAATGTTGTCACAGTAAAAATCAGCAGCAAATAAGAAGGAGAATGACAGTTTGAGAATGACCCCTGCTAGGCATAAGGTTTGTCAAACCACACAAGTTTGCTATTTCCAAATGATGGAATATTATGGGATAGGTTTTGTCAGTTTAATCCCTAATCCATCCTATTTTCAAGTGGGACAAAAATTGCTTTTGTGCTTTCATGTTGTTTACATAATAAAATGGGATATTTAAAAAAATAATACCTTGAATTATATTGCAGCTTTACAGATATTTTTGTTGTTTGCAGAGGACATTATGTTACTTTCATAATTATTTAAGATGTGTTTCATCTTACTTTTCATCTCACCTCTTTGCTATGAATTAATGAATTAATTATTGTTAGTTCATTGTTTGTTCACTCCATACTTGGTGGTGAAAAACTACAATTGTAGCCACAGTTGCCCTGGCAGACTGACAGAAGTGAGGCTGCCAGTCTTTGCCTTCGGCCACCACCAGCACTCACGCACACACCACTTTTTATTCTATATATATTTTATATGCTCTTTTACTACAACAGCAAGATGGAGAGCAATCTTAATCTTTATCATGTTGATTTGGATATTCTATCTGTGAAATTAATCAATGATTGAATTTAAATGAGGTATAACATGTCCATATAATGTGGTTTTACAAATGTACAGATACACAGAAATGTATACATGATCAACAAAACATGCCAAAGTGTGAGTAAAGATCATTTGTAATGTAACCAGGACATAAAGTAGTCACTATGACCAGAGGAAAGTGATACTTAGATAACACACTACCCACAGCACTACCCACTTATGTACACTGTAATTTATATTTTATAATGCTTTATGCAAGTACCCCAGTTACTCCCTGTCATGTAATCGTCCCTAAAGTATTGAGGTGTACTGTGTTACTCAGTTCAGTGTGAACCTCTGTGTGAGTCTATCACTGCAGTCATCTGAGTAACTAGGAGATTTACATTGACTGACTGAATACATATAATGATCTGCAGCCAGAGCAGATATCCTTGGCCCGATTGGTTTTGCGCCGCTAGTATTTTTAGTTCAAGGGAAAACTGCAATGTCACAATAACAAGCTCCTAGAGAGAGGCGATTATATATGCACGGGTAGTGAGGAATGCTGCTGTGAAAATAAAATGCTAGATACAGACAAGTGAGCACTAGGCAGCACAGAGCTCATGTGAGGAGAATAACGGGAGCTGTCCACTGTGGGAAGTGCTGAAACGGACAAACAGCTCAGCCTCAGGGAGCTATCCATTACACTGTAGTGCTGCAGCTCAAAGCGTGTTTTTGATGCAGTGAAGCCTGTCTGTTAAACACAAAAGCACTAAAATAAGGCCCTTAGCCGAAGGGAACGTGGAATAACAGCATTGTGAATGAACAGTTTAGACGATTTACAATGTCCCGCTTATGTTTCCGCTCTCACACATAAACACTGACCACAATAGGCCTGTCTTCTGACCAGGAGCTCAAACAGGATTTGATTGCACTCAGTGAAAAACCTATTTCAAAGCTGCATACAACTGCAATGGTGTCAAAAGAGCAAATATGATTCTGCAATGTCCTTGACCTATACGTTCAATGTGACCCTCTGTCAGAAGACATAAATCAGTGATGGCTAATGTAACATAGTGGGCATATATGAAATGTCTATTGGTAGCGGAATAATTTGGCTAATACTGAAGGCTGTCATTAGGGTATTTACAATTTACAGCCAATTTATCAGTAGCAGGCCCGATCCTTTTCAACACACACATTTGGCGTAAATAAAAAACGAAAATATGCTGCATGTTGGTGGATGAGAGGGTTGTGGTGGGGGGCTACGTTACATCATAACCCACCCACTCACGACTCCAGATTCTCCACCGTCTCCGCGCTCTCACCCCGCCCGTGCCTGCTCAGATTGAGTAATATCAAATGCACCCCAGTGAAAATACAACAACCAGGAGGGAGGGGGAGCAAAGGGACATAAACAAGTGTTGATTTTTTGGCGCACTAAGTCCTTAATAAGACCGCCTGACCAGATGAGATGCTGATGTTGTTTGTACCTGATGGTCAGTAGTTCATGCAGTAAATAAGCAGCCGCAGCGAGCAGGGCCCCTCCAGTCAAATACAGCGTCTTCCTCCACCAAGAGTCCGAGCCCAGGGCTGCCATGGCGCCGCCGTAGTCCTGCAGAGGCGAGGCAATCACATAGCCGAATAACGACAGCTGCTCGTCGGAGGCGGCACCCAGCAAAAGGCCGGTGAACGAGGACAGGCCCTGGGTCTCGCCAAATTCAAGCACAAACGAGCGCGTACAGGCGAACCCCACACGCCAGTACATGCTCCAAGCTGCGTCCGGCCTCTGCGCGCCTCTCTTCGGCAGCTCGGGCCTGCATCAGCGGCGGGGGGCTTCATGAGTCCGAGGAGGGAGACAGGGGCGAGGGGCAGAGGGGACAGAGGGCGAAGGGGAACAGCATCCCGCCCGTCCGAGCCTGTCCCCGCAGCGGGGTCCTCATCCTGGGCAGCTCGCTCCAAGCTCGCCTCCTCGGTGCTCGCGCAAAAGTGAGGGAGGGGGATGTTTCCGGTGCGCTATAATAAAAGTCTGGAACCTTCATATAATCATTGTTTGTACATGGACATCTAATCATAGCCTAATTTAATTTAAAATACAATTGTTAAGTTAGCCTACAGTTGGCGCAGTAATTTTATTGACAATACTAAATTATATCAATCCCTGGTCTGCATATTCACCTCCATCACCACTTGGCCTTCATTCTATCAAAAATGTCGCTTAGTATTATTACTAGCCTTTGTAATTGTTTGTTACTGTATTTTTTTTTAACACGATCCGTCATTTTAATTGACCATGTTGTATTGTTCTATTTTGAAGGACTGTGTTAGGAAGTTTTGTAACTTTACAGATTGTCTGTGTTGTAATAACTGTGTATCATGGGTGTTATGAGAAGGTTACTGTGACGTCACGGACATAGTGTTACCCAGATCACCCTCTCAAGAGAACTGCAGTAAATAGTACCATGCAGTTATAGGCCATTGATGCACAACTCCACAGAAGTACGGCCCCACTGGGCTCCACTAGAGATCCCACCACAGCAAAACAAGCTTGCTCAGTGCTCACTCTGCAACATTTCTGTACGTTTCCCAGGAGGAAATACCTTGGTAGTACACCTATCTGTAAACTAACAATCATAAACAATTACCACTGTTTTTCACACCAAACATTTTATTTCATAAATGAGTTTTACAAATAATTAACAGGTTCAAGTAATAGTTACGGAGTGGAAATGCATTACAAGTTAGATTGAGGTGAAGCCCTTGTATTGTACCCTCACACAGGAGGATGATCATGTAACAGATGGTGCCCATTGAAAGAAAAGCAAAGACTGTACAGGTCATTTGTGCTTTTCTGTGAAACTGCTCATTAGACTAGCCTTTAACATGTAAATTAATCTGATCAATTAGTGGATACATAACCACAGGAAAAGATGTGAAAGTCCTGTCATCTGTCACCTGAATGAAACGCGGCTGTGCTTGAATGAGAGGATTACTGGAACCAGCAGCTTTATTTAAGGCCTTCAAGCACCTTGTTTTTGAATACATTCACACACACAGACTCACAGCTCTCACAGTTTTACAGCACAAAAATATAGACATCTAGAGGAATATGCACAGGTGTATTGCCACAATCAATTAAATGGATGGCAGAATTGACAAAAAATCCAAACAAAACTGGACAAAATATACTTGATTCTGATTTGCTTTTACACAGAAGAAAACAAAAACAAGCCAAAAACTATTTTCTATAGCCCTAAAGCAAAACGCATGTCAATGATGACTGTGTTGCAAACTCAAATGTGAAGCAAAATGAAATTTCTTCTAAAGCGCATAAACAGATCAGCTCATGATTCCCAACAAAAGTTTTAATTAAGCAAAAAAGATAAAATATTACAATGCTAAAAGTATTTACAAAAAGGGCAAAGGGGTAGGACATGATTGAAAAGCTGTTTGTAATTCCATGATCCACCAGCTTGGCCCACTGACAGCAGGGTTATCCAATCACATCACAGTAAACTTGGGTCCACTCCTCATCGACACAGTATCCAACAGACCCCAGTGAAGAAGTCTGCCTAGTCCCTGAGGTTAAATCGCTCGCTCACAGTACATTTGATCAAGTTTATTAAATCCAAAAAGTTGCCCTTCATTTCATCTCAAATTGGCACGTTCCTTTTCAGATTACCCAGTTTCAGTTCATGTGTGTAGCAGAGCAGAGTGTTAAGAGACCCACAATAAGCAGAGTTGGAGGTGAAGACTTCAGATTTTAGGTGTCAAAGATGAATATTTGGCCCATGAAACATCCTCTGTGCAGATGTAAACACTGTCGGCCCATGGCTAAGATTGGCTGTAGGAGTTACTTTGGTTCCCATTTGAACTCTGATCACTCTCACTGGAGGAACAGAGAGAACATTTTTGTCAATAAAGCTAACCTTGTTTTAGATATGGAGTATCTATTACAAATTTATTACATCATTTCATTTTTAAATGTAAATGCTATGGCTCATTTTTACCTGTTGGGAGGAGGCTTCGGCTTTGGCATCTTGTTCAGCACAGCAGCTATGTCTTTACGGTCATCAAAGTTTTTCCACTGGTCATACAATTTAAGAATAACACGGATAATCTCCAGGATCTATGGATATCACATTGTTATAGAGATAGTAATGCAGAAATTGTAGAAGATTCACCTGTAATGACACCTACTTTGTCCATATCAACAGAAAGCTCTGCAAACCACTGTCTAGCATCTTTCTGCTGCACCACACAGGCCACATGCAGACAGGCTAAAAGAAGAGAGATGTGGAACTGATCAGGTTACAGCCCATAAACCTACTCACTAACAACATTATGAGGCAGTCATAAATCAAGCAGTATGACAAATCTTACCCAGTGCGATCATGAAGGGAGGGTAAAGCAGGCAGAGATCAGTTCTGTATGTGTCATTGACTATTCGCCTGTTGAAGAAGAATCACAGCATAAACACCATGGGCAAAAACTATGTCAAAATCTATTTCCAGGTTGAATCAAAGCTGTACCAGGCCAAAGGCAGCAACATGTCCTCTTGCCCCATGTCCTGCACATACTGCAACAGTGGTCTATATGGGTGGTACACAATCAGGCAACAATCCTTAAAAAAAAAAAAAATTAAAGAATCTATCCAACACATACTCAATTGTTTGATAAAAAAGTACTCACCATCAACTCTAGGAGGTAAAATTCACATTCTAAGATCTGTTAAAAAAAACAAACCCACACACAAGGTCAGTTTTGTGGTCTATAAGTGGAAGGATGTTGGTTCATTTAAATACAGACAACACAAGGTGAAAAAAAAAAACACTGTACTACACATTAAAATGATTGAATGGTAAAGAGGAACTAACCATACAAATGTATTAATACATTGACAGATAACCAGATAATTTATGGTGAGAATCTGACAGGCTGATTTATGAAGAGTTTAGTGACTCACTACATGGCACTATAGTGACATTTGGAACAACATAATGACTCTGCACTTGCACACGGGTCAAAGTAATCTCTAACAGAAAAGACTAATCATCAGGGATATGTGAACTGTCGTAGTGGAATCTCTCATTCTGTGACACATCACCATAGTGATGTACTGTCCAAGTGTTTATGGCATGTTGTAATTTGCACAAATGTGCTTACACCATTAGCTCTAATGTATATGGTCACTAACAGGTCGATAAGTCACAAAATGACAAATGGCATCTTAAAAAACATACATGATTCATTCGGTAAGGAAACTCTTTAGGGAAGGCATAGGAGAACCTAGTTTTCACTGTGTGAAGAAGAGAAAGACAATGTTACACAATGGTTTTAAAGATGGTCAAAGTGAAGAATTGTATTATTGTAAATAAGAATTGTTCCCAAAGTATTACTTACACACAGAGGTTGCAGCAGAGATAAGTCTGGTATTTGAAACTACTCCAAATTCCTATGAAAAGAAAATGGAATGATTATTAAAACATTTGTCAGTCATCTAGAATTGATTGGTATCTATGAAAAAATATAAAAAAATCTCTGACCTCAACTTTAGAGGCCAAAAACACACAGGTAGGGGCCATCAGCACAGGATCTATACTTTTCAAAGAGTATCTGGGGAAAACAAGTTTAACCACAATATTGTTATTCCCTTCCCAGTAGCAATTGTTACTGCCATAGCATTTAACAATGTTCTGCCATATTCATTCTTAGTCATTTTCTGATGTTATGTCAACTGGCACCTTCTATAGAATTAACACAGTATAATGAACAACAGGCCACAATGATAATTGATGACTGCATATGGATTAAACCATCAGATAAAAAAGTTGGTTAAGTCTGTATACAATTTACATGACACCCACCTGGCGTAAAAGCGTTTGAAGTACACTGTAGCAGTGGCAATGACTTGCTGCCTCAGCTTCAGATGTTCCCCCAAGGCCTGGATGACTATTGGTGCAAAGAATGTTGCATTTGCAGTCAAATCGGGAATACATTTAGATGATGTAGGAAATATGATAAACGGACAACATGTGCTTCTTGAAAATGAAATGGAACTTTAATGAAAGAAAAAAATGTTTAAGAGATTTTTACCATTGGCAAAGAAAATCTGCAGTTTCCAATACTCCTCTTCTGACAGAAACTTCAGGTCCTTCTGGCGCTCCTTCATCAGGTCCTGTCTATCCAGAACCCACTGAAGACTGTACAGGAGGATTTGATCAAAATGACCATCTTAACACACCACAACATTTTAGCTTCTGTAAATCGCAAATTTATAAAAAGCTAGCGGATAGCAAGGTACTTTCTGCTAGTTAGCTATTTGTTTACGTTTTGATACACTAAAAAACACATTCGCAACAGTATGTAGTTATGATAATTCATACTTATAGGATGTTATATTTTTCTCGCTTTAAAACAGCTTATTTTAGCAGCAAAACTAGTTTAAAAATTGTGCTGTCGGCTCGCTATAAAGAAGCCACATAAACACCGCTAGCATAGGGCCCGCCGACTCAGGAAAAAATAAGAAATAAAGACGCAACAGTTAAAAAATATTGGTTAAAACTTACTAGTGAGAACTTTGCCAGAAGTTCCCTGCCATTTCGTCAAAGATGAGGTAGAAAAGAAGCTTTTAATTCTATTTTTATTTACACAGAAATGGATGCCAGAGTTTTCTTAAACAGATTGATGGTAACATAGAAAGTCGTCCGGGTAGCAATTTTGTGCACTGCAAGTAAAGGTTCCGCTTTGGTAAACTGCTTTCTGTTCTCACAGCAATTTTATCAATACAATTATCAAATTCAGGAAAAATGCCATGCCATATTATTAGACTGTTATTGTCAATATGCAAATGTGTTAAAAAGTCCTGCATTCTGTATTGAAAGATGAGGTGTATTTCAAGAATGTAATGCAATGTAATTACTTGGCATAACCTTGATAGATACTTGCAGAGAATGTCACCTCTGGGCCGGGGAGGTTCAACATTCCTGTCTAGTATTCAGGGAAGGGCTGTGAGTATAAAGACCCCATGACTGGCCTAAGGTGGGACAAAAAGACTCCAGGCAATCTCTAATTTCCACTTCAGCAGAAAGAGATCTTTGTGCCATCATGAGTCGTAGCCCAGAGAGGATGTCTTCTTACCGCAGACAATTTGAGGGAAGCCTGGCCTCATCCTCTATGTACCAAGTTCGAGTATCCAGTCCTTCTCCCACCCGTAGGGACACCAGATACCGATCTGTTAGCCTCACAAAAAGTGCTGGGACAGTGGGACGCAGGGCTACCTCCAGCAGGTCCAGAATGAGCAGGTAAATTTCTTCTAATCAATTTATTCTACCTTTAAAACATTTTCATTTTTGTGTTTTCTCATTGATAGCAGTGCAAACTTGGAAGCGCTGTGCTATGGCATGTCAATGGGTTTTGGCCCCAAACTAGACTTAGATGCTGCTGCAGCTGAGAACCAGGCTTTCATGCAAACCAGAACCAGTGAGAGAAAAGAGATGGTGGCCCTGAATGATCGCTTGGCTGTGTACATTGAAAAGGCAAGAACATAAATAAGACACAAAGTCTAACAAAAGGCAATGAATTCTAATATTGAGAATATCATTTGCAATTTTTAAGGTGAGGACACTTGAATCGCAAAACAAACTGCTGGAAGCTGAAATTGAAGCCCTGAGGAACCGCTATGCCAGGCCATCGGGACTGAGGCAGCTGTATGAAACCCAGCTAAAAGATCTCAATAGGGAAGCAGAGCAGATGAGAGTCCAAAGGGTAATAAGTTGCAAATGTGCTCTGTAACACATTAGCCGTGCATGTCATGTCAATTATAACTTGGAATATTATGCGTTGTTTGTATGTGTGTGCAGGGTCTAGCATTGGCAGCAAAAGAGGCAATGCTGGGCCAATTGGAAGGACTTAAATCCAAATTTGCAGAGGCAGTGGAGGCCAGGAAGCAAACTGAGCTGGAGATTGAGGCTTTACGTCCAGTGGGTTATTGTGAAATATTTTGTAAACCATAATTATTTTTAATAGACATAGTTTTACTTTCTGTTAGGATGTTGACAGGGCAACCTCGGCAAGAATCGCCTTGGAGAAACAACAGGAGAATCTGGCATTGGAGTTGATGTTCTTACAGAGAGTTCACAAAGAGGTAACAATGTACTTCATGTATGTGACTAGTTCAGTAACTGGCATACCTCCCATTTTGTCATTATAGCTTAAATAGGAGGGCAATTATAGAGACAGGCTAGACTTAATGTTGTGACAAGGATCTCACAATGAAAATAGCAATTATGAGTGTGGTGTTTAACAGTGGAGGAAGGATTAATTTTAATTTAATTTTCAACAGCACAAAAGGCTAAAAAACATATCTATGTTGTTTATTAATTTCAGGAAATAGAGGAGCTGATGCAACAAATCTATACCACAGTTGCTAAGGTTGACTTAACTTTTGGCCTCCCAGACCTCGCCACTGCCCTGAGAGACATACAGTCACAGTATGACAGTATCGCATCCAAAAATCTTCAGGTAAGAAGGATTAATTGTCCATAAGACCACACATTTTAAATAGGTGTGATAATTTCTTGCAGGAGATGGATGCGTGGTATAGAAACAAATTCCAAGATCTGACCAATGCATCCAACAAACATGCGCAAAGTGTGAGAAGTGTAAGGGAGGAAATCGCAAGTTACAAGAAAGATGTAAGTAAAGCTATGCCACCTTTTTGCATTCCTATTGAATTATTAGATCTAAATGTACAGTATGTACACTTGTAGATTCTCAACAAGGAACGTGAACTGGAGACCCTAAAGACAAAGAATGAGTTTCTTGAGGCTCAACTCCGTGATATGTCACTGAAATACAAAAAGAAAGAGGAGGACCTTCAGGTAAGTGAAATAAACTGATCTGTAATTTAACAGCTATGTCATAAAATAACAGCCATGTGCGACGCTGATTTTCAATAGGAGCGTATTGATGCCATCAACGTGGATCTGAGAGTGACTAAGGAGAAGATTGCTCTGCTATTACGAGAATACCAGGACCTACTTAACATAAAGATGTCACTTGAAATTGAAATCACCACCTACAGGTAAACTATATTATTCATGTTACAGAAGTCAGTTACTCATTTCCAACCTTCTCTACACAAAAAAATTGAATAAAATCATCAAGTTTTGCAGAGCATGAATACAACTGGCCTGTAGTCAGTGAATTACTGTCTATATTTATGTTGTCAACATTTCCTCTGGCTTTGGATGCAAATACAGATGGGACACACTCCTCCTATTGCTTGAAGAAAGAATGAATTAACAATATAATGAAAGTGTAAAATGTAGGCACACATAGTGAAGATGAATAATTTTTATACATTCATTTTGATCATTGCCTTATTTTAATCACAGGAAATTAATTGAGGGTGAGGACAGTCGGCTGAGCACCATGGTTCGTAATTTGTCTTTGAATGGAAAACTGCCCATCACTTCTGGTCCAACACCTGCCAAATGTGCCCCACCTGCAACTCCTACAGATAAAGAAAGCTCAGACAAACCTGCAGTTACTGTGATCGAGAAAGCACGCCATGTTGAAGTGTCCTCCTCGGACACTCAGACAGACCTGGACCAGGCGACTGAGCTGTCAGAAAGAAAGACTGTCTTAATCAGGTAGAGGATAACTTCAGTCGCAATAAGGGCTGGGTACTATGATTGGATTTTAGTCAGTACCTGTACTTGAACTATCCATGGGTTTCAAAATTATAAAAAAAATTGGGATCATTGCCATTGTGATTAACAAAAAAATAATGTAATGCATACAAGACAAAACTGAAACCCATGACTACCTGTTTTTTGTTTTTTTATTATTTAAGAAAAACTTTAGTTTCTATCATGCACTTGTGGTATCACAGTTCACTTCCAGGACCAACTACACATTAAACGTAGTAATCAAGTTTACTATAGCTTTTTGGTATCCAAGAGCCCTTGAAACGATCAAGTATTGTGTAATATGGTCTATTTGTGTAACACTGTTTTTCTCCCAGAACAGTTAAGACAGATGAGGACATTATAGAAAGCGACACACAGGAGCGCACTATCCTTATTTCTGGAGCAGCGGACGACACAGATGAAGAATAATTACCAAGAAAACAACTAAAATCGAAATCTGCTCCACAGAAATATGAACCATCATGTACCAATTTTCTGCTGAGTCCAGTATCTCTTCCTACTGCTTAATCTAACATACTACCTGTGTGAAAACGTGTGTTTTACCTAATAAACAGCAAGAACCAATGATGCATGATTATTATTCACATTTTTTTTATTCAAATCTGCAATCAAAAGTGCAATTAAGACAACTGCCACATGTAAACATCTGATTGAGTTAATAAAAGTGAATCTTATATCTCTGAGAATGTTAGATCTTATGCCATTAATAATGTGGCACTTCAGAAAAGGCTTAAATACAACGATATGATGTGTTATGATATGTAGATTTGCAATAAGCACCAATTTGAATTTGAATTATTTACTTCTAGTGCAATGGCTTTGGTTCATCACCCACACCTCCAGCGAGACGGTAGACTGCCAAACTTACTTCATGTGCAAGGGTATCAGTGCTCTCCTAAAACACACATTATTTCAAATTATTACTTAAATTCAATGACATCTGCAACTTATTTGACATTCAATATTCAGTACATTTACATGGACAGAGATAAATAGCATTTTCAGATAAGCCAATAGTCAGATCTGTGTTTACATGCACAGACCAAAGCAGATAATCCAAAACATCAGGTGAATGGCAGTTAATGAATGGGTTTTCAAAGTTACAGGAGTATTTGGTATTGAAACTACAATTATTATTTTTAAAGAATGTATTAAATTTGAATACTTTCAAATTATTTACATATTGTCTTTACTTTAATTGTCTTTTCTCACATTATATCACCTTTTTGTTGTATTGTCTTTCTTTTTTTTGCTATTTACATTTCAATGAAAATCTCAGATAATCAGATAATGATTATCTTATCAGTGTTCATGTAGGTGTGGTTTGTGATCCAGATAATTACTGGACATTTACTTTCAACATGGTTTCTAACCTGAGTGTCTGCCTCTGCATAGACTCTGACCACGTCTTCAGTGCCAGAGGGTCTGACGAAAGAGCGTGCCAGACTATACTTGTTCACCAAGGCATCAATGGCATCCTGCAAACCTGCCGGGCTCACTACTCGCCTCTCTGCATCTGTTGTGTCAATTACTCTACGGTCTGCAACCTGCACAACAGTAGCCAGATTATTCATGGTACAAAAAATAAAACCAACACAGGTCAGAAAGTACAGTGTGGCATGCTTGCAATAACATTGTTTTTAGGGAAAGTATTACAGGTTCTGCTCAGTGACTTACACTGTACTTAAACTTAATAATATAGTAATACAGGACTGTAAAGTTAAATATTACCCAAGTCTTAAATCTTTACCTTAACTTTTAGCTGCCTGTTTGGTAGATCAGTGTAGATCGCATCCCACTGCTGGACTGTCATTCCTTTGATGGCCAATATGGCTTCAATTAGCAGCATGTCAGAGATGGCATCTCCTACAGTCTAGAAAAAATAGCACATTATTTGATAGAAAGTAAATGGATGAGCTATTGGTTTGTTTGTGTCTATTCTATTTGTGTACCTGATTGATAACATTAATGGTGTTCTGAAGCAGGAGAGCTGCTCTCTTATTTTCATCATCACTGTTTGGATTGTCAATGAGCTGCTGGATTTTGTCTTCTGCAGATTTACTGAAGAGCACCTGGACACACAAGACAACACAGGTGTGTTTGAGAACCTGAATATCTTTATGTGACATAAAGAAGAGGCTATGTACTTACTGTTCCATGGCCATTAGCTTCAAAGTACACGCCTATGTCAAACTCCTGTGCTACATGGTGGAGATGTTTGACCCCAGTTTTAGTGCATTTTACAGTTAACTATGCATAAAGACAAACTTCTGTTAGCTGTGAAACACAAAACCACAAAGCTCAATATCTATTTGTGTCAACTCACCTTCATAGTTTCTTCAAGATACCTTGTTGAGCTTCCATTAGCATACGCAGTTTGCACTACTGCCATATTCAAATTCAGGCCTGCCTGTAAATCCCCAAACATCCATCCATTTTCAAATAATGTTCATACTTGATTTAATATTTATTTAAGGTAGAAGTGTATACCTGTGTGAGCAGTTCTTTTAGAAAAGTGCTGATAAGTGTTGCTATTTTATCTCCATCCAGCAAGTGGAACTGTCCTTCAGAGTCACTGTAGTAGTAAACAATGCGGTCAGCATCACCATCAAAAGAACAGCAGCGTTCCCCAGGTTTAATCTCAAATCCTTAAAAAAAATTTAAGAACACATTTGAAATAAATATTAGCTTCAAACATGTTTCAATTTGATCACAAAATCCCACCTGTTGGAGCTTTCTGCTGTACTTTCACAAAATCTGCTCCACATTGATAATTCAGCTTCCCATTGCTGCCGTCATTATACAGAGAGATCTGTAGCTCTTTGGCTAAGTGACTCTCCATCTCCCTAACCTTCAAAGCTCCAATCCCATTAGCACCATCCAAGGAAAGATGCTTCTGGTCGTCAGTGCAGTTTGATGCCTGATAGATTAGAGCGTAGACAAGTTATCAGTAGTAATTGGCTCACAAACAGGCTATATAATAACCTAAAAACACGCCTTAAAACTGACATTCTTGATGAGCTTTATGAATGCCTGACAAAGCTTCTTGTAGTAGCCTTCCACTGTAGCTTTTCCGTATTTCCCTTGAGTATTTTGGCAGCAAACCATGTAATGAAGCTGTGGAGTCGTAACCAGGCCATAGTCTTGATGGTAAACAAGAAACAAATATTTATAAGGTTATAGTGTGAAAGGTTATTTATATTAAACAATCAAAGACTAACCTTTACTGAGACCACCAAGAGAAGAGACGCCCTCCAGGACAGCTTTTGACAGACTGGCACTGCTGCTCCTATAAACAAAGATTTAAACCAATTCATTAGCTTGAAATGATAAAAAAAGGGTTATTAAAAGTAAAAATTAAAAACTAAATGTAAAAAAAATATATCAAATAAATCCCCAAAATATTATACCTGGTGTCCCTGCCCACAAAAACATTTGCTTCTTGGCTCATGTTTATTTCCTCCTTTGCTATTATGTCCTTCAAAGCTGTGAGTAAGTCTTCATTTTCAGCATTGGCCAGTTGTGTAGCATAGCCCTCCCAAGTTGGAGTAACCATCTCTCCCATTGGGTCAACCAGCTTCACACCATTATCCTCCTAAAATAGGACAATATGAATAAAACAATCAACAGCATTCATAGGTGAGTGATTATGTTGGTAGATAGTTAGACTTGGGCTAGTTATTTTTATTGGATCTGAGATTTTTCTTCTAAATTCTTAACCACCATAAGATAATCTTCCAGAAAAGACAGCTTTTATAGAGTAGAATGTACATTTTGTGTGTAATTTTGACAAACCTTACAATAATATGTGGACATGACTGTCCAGATATTATTGTAAATTATAAATTAACTATAAATTAATTAAGGGATCATTATGATAATAGGTTAGACTTGATTTCTGTGATTAGTTGTTGCATCTGTAACTTACAGCAAAATAGTCAGATCATTACAAAAATTGTAGGATTCCTTATCCTACCTCTGGGTTGTGTGATGCTGTAACCATAACTCCAATGGTGGCTTTAGTTTTCTTGGAGCGCAGTGTGGCCAGCAGTCCCATCCTGAACATGATGTGGTCCAAGACTTTGGCATTGGTCCTGAATCCAGCTGTGCCATACTGTAGAACCAGACCGCGAGGCTTTGGGTGCAGACTGGAGAGTTTGGTTACTTCAGGAAACAGGGCAGACACTGAAACAGTGAAACAGTTTTAACTTAACCATTAGAATTTCAACAAACAACAAGGAGCAGAAGGAACAGTTCACATTATAGGCTACACAGGGTACTGGCATTTTACTGTGCAGGGCAAAGTGTATGGAGGACTGCTATTAAAAGATAAGCACAATGATTTGGTCTATTAAATGACGTTCATAATCACAGCAACAGAAAAATGACACACTCTCTTATGCAAACGATATAAGAGTACGACCAAACAGAAACGTGTGCAAATAATGCCTAAGATCTTAACCGCATTTTGTTAATTATAAAAGTTACTTACTGTTTGCTTGCAGAGAATTACAAATGTAGCGTTGGCATTGGGAAGACTTCCTGCTCCTCCGGTTTGATTGTGGACGTGGCTTCGTTGTATGCGTGATGACGTAAGCACGTACACCCTGTGCGTCATAAATATCTAAGGCGACTCTTTCTGCAGGGTTTCCCCATGAAGAGTTTTGCATCCATACAGGGCTGCAGAGTCAGGCTAATTACCAACTTATACATTATAATTATAATATATATCTACTATACCCCTATATGAAAAAAGATATGTTTAAATAGCGCACTACCCATATCAGGGAATAGCTATTTCTATTTTGGCACAAATCTCTCACAAACATAGTCTCATTTTGTTGTAGGCAATTGAAGTAACAGTAATACACATAACCACAAAGCATTATAGCCCTCTGGATCATTTGCAATAACATAGGCTACGTTCAAAATATCTTTACAGGGGGCCACACTCAGGAGCCAGTGAGTAAATTCCTCGTCACGACCCTGTTTCAACATTTATGACAATGATTTAAAATATTTCTAAATCAAAGCATGGCCATCTATATTACCCAGGGCCGCTCTCACTGCGTCGAGCACAGATAGAGAGCACCTCACAAGTCTAATAAATAAACAAACCACGGGGGGGCGAGGAGGAAGAAGAGGAAATTCCGCTCTGTCCTTTCCTGTTCCCTGCATTCGTCTGTGCGCAGTGTTAGCGGTACCTCCGGGGAGAGGTGGGGATTTTGCGGCAAACTCTGGAGAAAAACACGATTGAAACCGCAACTGATAAAGAAGAAAACGGAGACATATTTTCTTCGTGGTGCTATTATTTTGAAGGACTTTTTTCCTTGCGTTGACACGAGGGGAAAGGCAGCCAACCCTGATGCCCCCTCCTCCAAACGGGATATTTGACCGATCCAAGGAGTGCTAATTTGCATCTTGTCAATTGGTTACATTATATTTGTGATCAGTGAGGCTTTTAGCGCAGTATTTGTCTTGTTCTTCTCCTGGCTGCGGGCTGTGGGAGTCGCTTCCATTGCCAGCGGAGTGTTACATAACCGAGTGGCTTTAGCTGTCCAAGGTGCTGAAGGAGTGGACGGTCGTACCCTAAAACGGGACGAGCTGTGGGGGAATTCACCTTGTTTGTAAGTCTAGAAATGTTTTAATACATGTTTATCAACGTAACCACTCGATTTTTATTTGAGAATAGCCTTTACGTCGCCACTAGCGTTCATTTTGTCTCTCTTTCCGCTTACACAGAGGTCAAGGGCCTGCTGTAGTGGAGACGATCGGGAGCGCAGAGAAGGAGCCTGCGTATTTTTCCTGCCGTAGCGGTTGAAATTTATTCCTGAGGTGGTCGACTTGACAGAGAGAAAATGTCGGGGCAAACGCTCACGGATCGCATTGCCGCTGCGCAGTACCAGCTAACTGGATCAGATATGGCCCGGGCTGTGTGCAAAGCTACTACTCATGAGGTGTCGCCGCCCAAGAAGAAGCACCTGGAATGTAAGTGCATACAGGTCCTCTACATCTTTTCAAGCAGTCTGTCTGTGCAGGTCCCAGAAACACTAGGCCTCTACTACCCCCCAGCCTAGTTCATTCTTTCGCTTACTGTATGTAGCCAATGAATAGGCTCTCAGTGTGTGCACACTACCACATCAGCATCACAGCCCATCATGCTATCAGCCTTATTGCTTGAGTGTGTTTGGTTTAATGGGTGTGATGGCATGATGAATTGATGTAGCAATGGTGATGACCCCCCTGACGACCCCTTCACAGAGTATGATTGATAGTATCACAGGGTTAAACCATGGCATTATACCTTTGTGTATAGCTTTTGAATGAATAGACACATTAATGGGTTTGGGTCTAAAAATAGGAGGCTACATTACATTGCATAAAATCAATATCTTATTTTTTATCATGCCAACTTAGGCTACTTTAGCTTAGCAAATGATTTTTCCAAACATTTCAAATATATTTGTTATAGTTTATTCTAATATGTAGGCTATATCTTATGAAGTCATTGCATACAATAATAACAAAATGTCTTAAGTTTTTGATATAAAATACATATAGACCAACACAGTACATACAATTCATACATTTCATACAATACATACATTTTAATAAGCCGCATAGTATTTGGTTCCACTGCATTCTGTTGTGTGGAAAGTTGGGAATTAATTCTGCTAAAACTGACCCACAAATTGAAGACTGAAGCATGTAACCATTTGTCTAAGTCCCATTCAAAACTGGCAGCCCATGAAATAAAATGAAACAGCAAAAAGTGACATTCTTTCAAATACATTTTACAACATCCTCATAAAAGAACAAAGGATAAATCAATAGTTGATTTCTCCTTTCCAGCAATATGGTCCAATTTGCTTGAATCTACAGTTCATGTCAGCTTTGGGCAGATCTGTTCCAAGAGTAATAATAAACAAAACAAGGACACCTCTACCATTCACAGCAGGCTTCACTATATGAAAAATCATCATTGACACTAGTAATCGCTGTAATCTAGCCTCAGTTCTGACTCAGAGTGCATAAGAAGAAGTGCTTGTTGCAGTGGCCAGGGCTAGTCTGGTCCCGTGTCTTGGACCAAGGCCTTATATCTTGTGATCCGCTCCCTTTTGAATAATTGAATAATCAGCCAATGACTACCTTGCATTATTTACACAGCCAAAGGTGACAATGCTAAAGCTACAATGAAACTTCCTGGTTCTGTAGTTTTGTAGCATACTAGGCCCTATTTATTTGTACTTATAATAACTATTCCACAAAGACATTACGAATACTCTACTACTACTTCTACTACTACTTTCAAGATTTGACAATGCAGATGATTCGGGTGAAGGAAACACAAGATGAACTAAAATTTGCACCAAAATGACTCTATAAATACCTTTAATGTGTTTCTAATTTCTAGGGCAACACTTTTAAATATGCTTCCTGTAAGTAGGACACATTCTGCATCTCTGTTGCTAGGGAGAATGCCCAGCCTCCAAAAGCATATTATTTTAACAGGCTTCTTAGAGTGATCTTTCTACATAATTAGTAATTAGTACTGCACACTATACACTTGACCATGGATTTAGCTGGTGATATTGTATGTCAAACCCTGAGGAGTATTTCATTTAGTCATATAGATAGTGAGGTGTAGTTGTCATGGAAACAGATTGAAGGGGATGGACTTGTAATGACAAGGGGGGATAGGAACTGAGACATGGTCAAAGATAGTCATCTGGTGTGTGGCTGCTTACTATGATGATTCCAGATTTTGCAGTAGGTTTAAATGTTTATTTGTAGTTAAAAATAAATAAATAAATTAAATTGTTAAGAATATGGTCATAGGATTGTTGGCATAGACAGATAGAAAAAGAGGTACACGCATAACTAAAAAATCTGAATCTGAGTCTGAATCTTTAATGCTGAAACTGACCAACTTTTTATAAAAAAAAAAATAATATATATATATATATATATATATATATATATACACACACACACACACACACACACATATATATATATATATAAACACTCAATTAAAAACCTGATGTTAAATGATATTAAAACATTGAGTGGTATTACAGAGCAATATATAGTGGTATCATAGACGCTTGCCATTAGTTTCGCTCTCATACAGACAACATCAGCTTCATGCTAAATAGTTATTGAGGTCACACACGTGAAGAAAGATGGTCACATGGTTGACACAGCAGGAGTCATGTGATCAGTGTGAAGAAAGTTAAAACACCTGAGCCCTCTGCTTCTCAGTGTTATTGAGAGCCATTCAGCTACATGGGAGAATAACAATGGAGCCACAATTTGAACTACAGTTGTTTTGTTTCAGTGGTAGACTTGAGTACACAGCACGGAGCCTGGGCTCATTCTTAGAACTGTAGTGTGTGTTGTGGATTACCGTAAGAGTCTTAATTTAGCTCGGCCAATCCTATGCACAGAGACACAGAGGCCAGGGCGGTTTCTGGCAAAAACACCAAAGCAATTTAATAACCAAAAACTACACTGTATTGCATTATATTATAGTGAGATTAAGTTACACAGAAGATGCTTTAACATAGAGTATGGTAGGACAGATTTGGCATGACATTGTGGAAGCCAGACAGAAATTTTATGTAATCATATTTGTTTTGGTGTGTGACGTTTGAACTGACGGTCAAGTGATCCGCTGTGTTTTCAAATATGATGAAATGATGAATAAGAAAAGCAACAAAGACCTAAGAAACAAAGCTACATTTAGCAGTGCATTAAAAAGATGTAGAAGTAGAAATTATTGTACGATTTGATTATTTTTAGCAAATTTCTTATATATAGTAAACTGTTCTCTTCCTGATACCATTTATTATAATTCTGTATTTTTGACTCAATATATTCGGATAACAAAAATAAGATCTTGGTTAGGCCTGTCTTTTTTCATCAGTGATCATACATGAGAAGCAATGGTATGAAATCAAATTGAATCAAATTTAAATATTATTTTTGAGAATGCCCATCATACATGCCCTTCTACACTTTACAGAAAAGCTCATAATAGATCCTGATTAAAAAGTATTGAGTATTAAATAGCCATTGTAAATAGGAAGAGGTAGGTTTGACTGGTTTGGGGGAGGGGTTAAAAGATGTCTGTGGTCACAAATAATCTGTTTACAAGCCCCTGTCCAGGCTGCTTTGTCCTTCTCTGTGGCCTCCTCACACTTTTTACAATACTAAAGTCTCCTTCTCTTCACCTTGAAATGTGTGTGGTGTGCTTTTATCTCCAGATCCGTCTCGCCTATATTTGGTGCAAGGCCTGGTTCAATATAATAGCCTTCTTATACCTCCATTATCAGGAACATGTGCCAATAACACATCTCCACTCCGAACACAAAATCACTGGCCCTTCAGATGTCAGATTATTGATCTAAAAGGAGATACTATAGCCTACTCATTGTAAGAAAGATGGATTTTTATGATAGCTTGTGTACATGTCAATGAATGCATGTTAAAATGATTAAAACACTTTGTAAAAAAGGCTACTTGTTGTTATCTGTATTTGAATCTGGCACTTTTCCCCTAGTAATTATTAATGACTTGTAACACTGTGTGAGTTGTGATTTCCTGTGGTGTGTCTTTTATATATTTTATTTATTTATTGCTATTTTATGGTTTCATAGTTTTGATTTTATTAGATTTTATACTGGTTTTTATTGTTTTAGGATTAGTATGATCACATTTTTAGCACTTATACTTTTGTTGTTTTATTTTTATGATCTCTGTGCTGCATTTTGGAAAGTGTCGTGTATAATATATACTCTCGTGTATAAACTGCTCTGTTTATACATGAAGTGGATTTGGATTTGAATGTGTCAAATGTTAAAATATAAACATTAGTCTTTTATTTTTGGCATTTCTAAGTGTTGCTTTTCCATTAGAGGAGAAAAGCTATCAGCCTCTTCACCTGAGCATTACCCTCTTTCACTGATGCCATAATAATCTGATGTACAGATTTGAAGATGACAAAGCGTTTTTGACTTTATTACTGTCAGCAGTTGTGTTGTGTGTGTGTGCTGTGAAACCACTTTGCATGAGCAGCAGGTCCTCCTCTGTCTTAATATTCTCTGATGTGTCTGGAGATCACTGCTCTGAACATTAGGTCGTCCTGCCTAATCAAACTTTAATCACAGCCTGTTCTGCACTAGCATCAACATTTGCAAATGAACCACAGTCATGACTTTATACTAGTACTAACTGTTGTGGAAATAAGTCTAGCAGGAGATAAGCAGGAGACTCTTGATGTCATGACACAGGACTGGGTGATATTAACATCAACATATGCTGTTTTCTATACTATAATGTTGTTTCCTCATTACAAACATACCCGGAGTTGTGTTTTGTTTAACACACAAATCCTGCTTATTTAGGGTGAGCTCTTCTCTCAAATGGAAAACACTCTTTTGCACCTTGTGATGTCACATGGTAAAACAGGAAGTGCTCCACTGTGTTTTAAACTCTATACATCTTCACTAGAATCATTTTGATGATTTCGGCCCTGGAATTGCCAATCTCTTCTGAACTACTGAACTACTGAACTACTGAAGATAAAAAAGTACCGGTAGCTATTGACTTGAAAACTATCACTTCATGATGTCACATTGTGAGCTTTGAAGATGTAGATAGGTCCAGGTATGTTTTTAAGGAAGTAACAGCATTATAACATGGCTTAAAGTGCACAAGATTAAATTTTGTTTAATATAACACCTTTAACCTACTGTGGTACATGGATATTGAAGAGGATTAAGTAACATAAGGGTTAAATTGACTTCTGCGTCACAGAGACAAATAAGGACTCAGAAGTCAGAAAGTTTGTGGTTAAGTGTAATGGTGTGACCTTGAAAGTGTTAGTATTATTGGATGGATACGGTTGGATGGATATTGTTGAGGAATGCATATTGATACAGTACTTAGTACAGCACTTTTATGGTGTTTGTTGTAATGTAGTGTTTATCCAGTAATCGAATGTTTAGTGGTTCTTATCCTGCTCTTGACATAAACATCATTGGTTGAGTGGTCAGATGCACTGACCCACAGGTTTGTGGTGCGATTCCAGTTCCCACAGAGGACTGCTATTGTTGTATCCTCTGGCAAGACACTTAACCATTCTCGCCTCCAGTTTATGCGTACACTAGTGTAAAAATGTGACCATATAGCATTACATTTTTTCTGAACGGTTGTTTTCAAGGTCAATGCAAATTGTCCCTGTTTCAATAAAGTGTCTAGCTAACAGGCCCATGAAATGAGGAAATATTCATGATCAGCTCATTTATTCTCCAACACTAACTAACAGAACAAAAGTGTAAAAAATGCTTCTGTGTGTTTGTGTGTGTTGCAGACCTGGTGTCCGCCACAAACACCACCAACGTGAACATTCCTCAGATGGCTGACACGCTCTTCGAGAGGTCCACTAACGCCAGCTGGGTGGTGGTCTCAAGGCTCTAGTCACCACCCATCACCTGTGCATTCACGGCAACGAGGTAAGGCAGCCCACAGGCAAAATAGTTTTACACGTAACAGTCAGGCGAGGCACAATAATTACAATATCGTCTTATCATTCAGTATAGTTTGCAATAGTGGGGAGATTTTACACGTAATTTTTGTAATTTCACTCTGTCATTTATTTGTTACAGCTCATGGCTTTTAATTATACTGTATACTTAGATTTAAAAGGAGTAGGAATAATTTTTCATATGTAGCCTACATGGTTTATTGTTTGGACATTTACAAGGGATAGGGTGACGATTGATTTGTCCCAGTTTTATACAAGACATGTCCGAGGTGTGCCTATTTTCGACCAACAGAAAAGGGAGCTATATATTGTCATTTGTTTAGCTAAAGTACATAGGCTTAAACCCATGTTTGAAAAAGACCATAAATTGGCCCTTGTAATGCACGCTTTCACTGTTTTCTTTATACCAACCATCCCAACCTGGATGTGTCCCAGTTTTTAATTTTGAAAATCTGGTCACCCTAACCAAGGAGGAATAGTGAATTTGCACACAGCCAGATCAAACCTCAACTGGGGCTGAATCCAGAATTAACCAGGACAAAATCAGGACTAAATAAAGTCTTAACAGGACTATTCAAGGTCTAAACAGAGGGAGATTTAAGAATGAGTATTACTTTATTGTCTTGATTGATAAACACTCCAATAAAGTATATATGAATGTGATGAAAGAAGATGATAGTGATGTGGGAGTAGAAGATGCAATAGGTATTATCGTTACATTAAATTGCAGTATGAAGTAGTTGTAATAGTCTAAATTATTGTGAGTGTTTTCCAGTTGCTGAGTTTTTGTTGTTTTTTTTCCAATAAACCCAATTAAAAAGCCACCTCTACAGACCTTATGAGCTTATGAGACCTGAAATTAACTATCTGGATCCAGCCACCTCCTGTGTCCTCTGTATCTTTTATTGCTTTTACTTCGTATCTTTGTGGTTTTATATTTTTTGACTTGTAAGGTGACCTTAACAGTCCTGAAAGGCTCCATTAAATAAATTGCATCAATAACTACAAGCTATGTTACTGATTGTAATATCGCTGGTGTTAAAAAATGTTATGCTTTGAGTGCAACTGCTTAGCTACCAATCACACTACATTTGAAACCACTCATTACTGTTTCTATTCTAAAAAGGTTTTCTGGGTCATGTATTTTATTGAATGACTCATTGTGTAATACTTGTCTATCCTCTTCAGAGATTCATTCAGTACTTGGCTTCCAGGACCGCCTTGTTCAACCTCAGTAATTTCATTGACAAAACTGGCTCTCATGGTAACAATACTGCACACTAATAAAATATCATCTGTTTATGTAACTTCTGACAGTGCAATAATGTAAATTTGACTGTGTTTAGGTTATGACATGTCAACTTTCATCAGACGATATGGGAGGTACCTGAATGAGAAAGCCTTTGCCTACCGTCAGATGGCTTTTGACTTCACTAGAGTCAAAAAAGGGTTGGTTATATAATTAAAGCTACTTATTGTCTCTTAGCTATAATTTGATTTTAAGGTGGAATTAAAACTATATGTTGTTTTCAGTGCTGAGGGCGTGATGAGGACCATGACCACTGAGAAGCTGTTGAAAGCCATGCCCGTCCTGCAAACACAGATTGACACGCTGCTTGAATTCGATGTGAGCTTTGATTTTTACAGAAAATTATTTTGAATTGCATTGTTAAAGGTGCATTGTGTAACTTTGCTAGTGAAGGGTCCATCACCATGGAGATATTATTTCTTTATCTGGAATTCCACAGTATAGTATTAAACATTTCTATCTTCATGAAGACAAAACCAGACCAAGTTACAGGTCAGATTTGTAGAGAGGCCACCCCGCTCACAATCAGAAAGTCTGTTTTTCTATGTATTTTTGAGCTATAAAAAACACCTGTACTTTAATAAATGTAAGGTGGGACTGTTTAATGTCATGGATTGTTTAATGTCATACTGTGGAACATTTCAGAGAGAGCAATAACATTTCCAAAGAAACAAGCAGGTGACAGACCCCGAACCAAAAAGTTATGTAGTGCAAATTTAACTTCATCATATTGTCAGTAACTAATTTTTTTGTTTATTTTTAGGTACATCCAAAGGAACTGAACAATGGAATCATCAATGCTTGCTTTATGCTTCTCTTCAAGGATTTGGTTAAACTGTTTGCATCTTACAACGATGGCATCATCAACCTATTAGGTCAGTTGTATTGTAAATATTGTTTTTGTAAAAGTCATAGTATGTCTAGACATTTTGTGCATTTCATCGTTATGCAAACAACTTTTATAGAAGCTGTGGTTGTGTATGTGTTTATAGAAATCAAATACAGGGCTAGAAATTATATATACACAAGTTCAAATTATGCTAACTAAATCTGAAAGTAGAGACATGTTTCTTATAAGTCCAAGAAGTTGTGATTAAAAGTTAAGAACCATGTGAAAATGTTTTAATGTTATTTCCCCACAGAGAAATACTTCAAAATGAAGAAGAGTGAGTGTAAGGAGGGCTTGGAGATTTACAAGAGGTTTTTGACCAGAGTGACAAAGATCGGTGAATTTATGAAGCTGGCTGAGGTAATACTCATAATACTGTTGCTGTTTTCCAAATCATGCTGATACTACAGTGTGGAAATAATGTATCTTTTATTATTTTCACAGACAGTGGGAGTTGACAAAAATGACATCCCTGATATTAACTATGTAAGTAATTGCAAAACAATCCCATGTTTTTGTTTTATGCATCCCCACAAAAAGCCTCATTCACATTGCATACAAGTCCAGATACAACATTTTCTCTTATTTTACCATGAAATCCCACTCAGTGCCTCCACCCGGGTGTAGTGGTGGATCTAGCAGACTCAGACGACGAAGACTGTCCTTTCAAACCTCTTGAGGAACCGGTAACCATAGAAACAGAGCGTGCCGTTGCCGAGTGCCTGTTTGCAGGATGCAGTGTCTATAATAACTTCACAAAACACAAATTGGTGTTACTTGAAGCCTGTGCCATTGTGTTAATTCTCCAACTTTTAATGCCTTGTAATTAAATGTATATGCAGTCTTTTAAAGCAAGCCTAACAAGCACCACAGTGTGCTTTATTGATTGTCTGTCTCTTGATTTGCTGTTAGGCTCCCAGCAGTATCCTGGAGTCACTGGAAACCCACATGAACGGGCTGGAAGATACAAAGGGAGGAAAGAAGGGGTAAGAATAGGAAATTATCTAATCAATTTTTCTAATCAATTTTATCTGACCAAAAAAGGCAAAAGACAGCTGCCAACTATACTGAACCTGGGATCTAGAATTGTCCTAGTTTTGCGTAAACATCTTTCCTTAACCCTACCTCTCTTTTATCCCTTTTATGTTCGTTTGGAATCACCAGTGAAGGGTGAGCAACACATGTTTTCTTTGGCGTTAACCACTAACTTTCTAAACAATGTACTGTAGATACATACATAATATTAGTACTATCACTCCCTTTCTTCTCCCCTGAAGTACTTATTCACATGCAGTACTCTGGCCAAGCACTGGACCTCCATGTGAATGTTTATCTGTTATGCACCATACTGTACATGAGAGCCAATAGTCTGTTTGTGTATTGGTTCACAGTAACACAATACATTTTCACTTCATACCATGCAATGTGATTCAAGATATGAAGAGTTTAATTACAAAATGTACTCAATTAAATGACCATTAAAGATGTGGTAGACAGTTTTTGGACACATATGATTAACTATATAGTTGGGGTAATTAGAGTAGCTGGTATTTTGTATGTCGTGTGACTGTATTGTAGATATGATAAAGCAAAATGTTGCTTATTAGAAGAAAAATGTCTACTGCAGCTTTAATGGATGTGATAAGAGATAAATGCTTCAATTAAAAAAATACTTTCGAAATGGACTCTTCATATGATCATGTTGGAGAGATTGTGTTGTTTGTATGTTGACAATGCCCTAAACATTGTACACAAATCTTATTGATACTCAGCAGTGATATCACACCGGGGGTTTTCAGTCATGTATTTCTATTGGTGGAATGTTCAGCTGACACAATGCACAGATTAGCAAACGCAGACAAAAACATTTAAGGTCGTCTGAAAACTCAAGAAAAAATACTAAAATGGATTTAAGCAACACATTTTCAGGAGCCTGTGATCAATACAGGACCATAAATGCTTGTTTGTGGTACGAGTGCCTCACAGAGAGGTTACACCCTTATCATCAGAAAGCCCACTAGTCAGGAAGCCCACTAGTCAGAAGGCCCTGTAGTGAGAAGGCCCACTAGTCAGAAAATCATTACCTCTTCTATTGGTTTGTCAGCAACATATCTCTTGAACAATTGAATGTATATTTGATGAAAGCAACAGGGAATAATCCCTGGATATCAGGAAAGAATTAGTAAACTTTTGGATATATACCAATTAAAAATGGCTGCAACATCAACATTTTTAGAGATATTGACAGGAAAACACATAATCATGCATAACAGCATAAGCTAAGGCCAGCATTACTTAATTTGTTGGTTTACAAACCCACCAATGGTATATTAAAAGAAAAAGATTTAAAATAAAATTGAAATGAAGGTTGTAGAGCTTGAATTACTGAACATTTTGCAAGTTGTTGCCTGAAAATCAGACAATTATTAACCCCCTGAGGGTCTTCTGAAGATAAGACTGACCCCCACAGGGAAACTGATGGCTAATGATAGCTAGCTAGCTAGCTGTAATTTAATGTGTGAAAGAGTTGTTTAACAGTACATATCCTCTCACCTGTCGTAGTTCCAAAAAAGAAAATCAGCTCTTTTTGGTCAGACTGTGTTAAAATAAAGATCAAATTAAAGTCTAACTTGAGTAACAGAGCTTCTAACAGAGTGGTGCTTTATGTTAGCTTAACCCCTCAGGGAATGTTGATGGCATCTGCTGCAAAGTATCAATAAGAGTTCTAATTTCCATCATCTAACATTTTCTATTGTTTCTCTCATTTAGGTCACCAACAAAGGTAGGCTTTTTCTATTCATCCTCCTTTTATGGACCATACTGTTATTGATAGTTTTTGTTGATAATCTGTGTTACTGTGCACTCCAGGGTTCCCCCACAAACAATGTGTCCCCCACCTCTACTCCAGCCAAATCCTCAAATGCTGTCCCCACTCTGCAGCCTCCTCCTGGGGATGGTGCTGCCGCCGCCGCTGCTCCTGCTGCTCCAGAACCAGCCGAGGAGTATGTACTAATAAATGTGATTGTATTATAGTTAAGACTGTGCAATCATAAATTTTTTTTATTTTATTTTTTGTAATTTAAATGTTTATGATTTTGTTTATAACTATAACAAATCAATACAACAAATAATTAAAAAAATAAAGAACAAAAACAGTGAGGATTCACAATTAATCTGCCCAGTCCAGCTAAACATGTACTCTTGCAGAGCTCAATCAGATTTTGTAGAAAGAAATATTTTTGTATTTAATGGCAATGTTTCAAAAATGTATGTATTGTTTAAGTTCAGGAAATTAATATTGACGAATGTCAATATTAATTTGTTTTTAATTAGACAAAAACTGAATAAAAGAATTTGAAGATTATTATTTTTGTCAGCCCTACATGTAGTAGTTCTGTATACTGCACTGTGACTATAATAGTTTAATACCAGTGCAATTAATTGGTCCTCCTTTCCTGTAGATCTTTGTTGGACCTGGATCCTCTGTCTTCCACGGGCCCTTCAGAACCATCAGCTGCACCTACGTCATGGGGAGGTATGAAATCAATTTTACCGTAACACAATCTAGTAAATCATTTATGTTGCACCACACTTGCTTCTTAAATTGAATAAACAATGCATGACTGTAAGAAGGTGATACACAAAATTTGACAGTGGTGATCTAAGAATTGATTCACTTCACTTGATTTTTGTATACTAATTTGCTCTTTTTTATGTCCTCAGACCTCCTTGGATCTGGTAAGATTGACCCAGTTACTAATATTATAACATGATAAATAGACAGATATATAGATAGATTTTTTAAATATTTACTCCAATGTTTAAATGTTCAGATAGATGATGTGGCTTGGTTACTCCCTGTTTGCGTCCTCAAAAGCTGTTCTCTTAGTGTCTGTTTCTCTCTGCCTTCTCTCCCTTCCCTCCGCATTCTTCATTGTCTGTTTTTGGTTACCAACGGGGGCTATTTTAATTTTGTTTATACTGGATCATTAAAATTTTCATTTGGAATTTTATTAATTTGACTTTGGTTTCTGCGATTTTTCCCTTGGATTATTTTGGTTGGCCTTTTGGGGGGCGATTCTTTTGTTGGTTGGTTGGATACCCTGACACCTACAGAAATGGGTGATTCGTTGCTAGCTGAACCTGCCCTCGCAGCAGAGCCCGCCCCCTCCCCGGCAGCAGCCACGCCCACACCAGCAGCTGCAGAAGCCACGCCTCTAGCTCCTCCCACTAGCACAGCAGCCGCCACCTCCCCAGGCGCCACCAATATGGATCTGTTGGGAGGTCAGTGGGCTTCCAGAGAGTAGCCTATGAGAGGCTCTGGAAAGCTCAACACACAGTATGACAACACAGATAAATGCATGCTCAAAGTTGAGACTGATCAGGTGTAACATTGACCACTCACAGGGGGATATTTTGTCTGTTCAGTTGTTGATGGGTAGGATAAAGGGATTTTTTTCCCCCACTTTTGATGTACTTTAGAAATTTAACAAAAATGATGATGATGCATGTTAGGAGTGAATGCTATCAGTGTTGCATTATGTTGCAGTGTTGCATATATATATATATATATATATATATATATATATATATATATATATATATATATATATATATATATATAGTTTTATCAATCAACATTTTAGTCTTCTCTCAAGTGTTAATGCTCCTGGGGTTAGTTACCAATGTACTACAGAATTGTACTTTTTAAACATATATCACTAATGTAATTGCAATCACAGTACACATTTTTATTTTATTTTTTTCATTTTTTCAAAATGGTGTAGCCCTATCTAGTGTGTGTTGTATTTGTATAACAATATATTGTACTATGTAAAAATATATACCACATTTTATTCCTTCTCATGTAGATCTTTTAGAGAGCATAAAACAATCTTTAGAGGCACCCAGACTAGCATTCTCTTTTATATGCATCATCCTATCTGACTTTGTTGTAGTAGTAGTAGTAGTTTGAATAGGTCCATAATATGCAAGTTTTCATGACAAAGCATTAAAGAAACAAGTGGTCAAAATGTTTTGCCTGATTGGTGAAAATAAACATAAATTTACATAGAGTCAAGCTTTTCTGTGTACTGCAAGAAAAGATGCATCATCAGAGGATACCTTGTGATGCACTTTCATAAATCATTTTAGCCCATGATTTGCAGGACACAGTTTCAACCACTTCTAAAGTGCTATATTGTTCTAACTGCACTCACACTTTCTCTTGGCTTGCACAAAAATCTGCTCTGTTCATTTTTCCACATGGATCTTGTTTGATAGGTCCATATGCTTTTCTTAATAAAAGCAAATCTATCAAACCCTATGTCTTCTGGCTACAGCTATAAAAGGATAGCTGTACCACCTCTAGTCACTGCTTTTAGGTGTAATCTTTATGCTAGTAGTGTGCAGTAGACCTGCCTATAATGTAGTGCCTCCTGTCTGTACTCCCATTCGTTCATTCACCTGTCAATCATGAATGTTGCACAATAAGGCTGCAGCTTGATTTGCACTGGTTTGATTGATGTCTGTTTTGGACCTAATATCTGTCTCGCTCTCCCTCTTTCATGACTATGTTTCTATTTCTTGTATGACTCTGTGTGAACATCAGACACTTTTGCCACACCCGCTCCTGCCCCTGAGGCATCTGCTAATGCAGCTGAAGGCGGAGTTGCTGCCACATCTGCCCCTGGTGCTGCCGCTGGTGCTGGTGGGTGACTCTCTCTCATATAACGTGCCAAAGTTATACAAAATAAGAAGAAATATCAAATTTTAGTGTTACAATTATTGTGAGAAGAAACATCATATTCTAGATAATCATTCAGCAATTTCAATGGTAAGGTGACATAAACAGCCAGATTATCAAAAAATATATATATTTACATTTGAAGGATTTGAAATTACTTAATTATGCTTTTAAAGTTGTCACAATTATTCAGATATTATGATTTTATTGAAAATATTATAAATATTTATATTTTATTAAAAATAAAATATTAAATATTTTTATTTTATTGCAAAATCATGATTATCGATTATTGACATTGATAATAGTATTCTGCTTGTATGGTGAAGCCATGTATTAAAATTCAAACTACACATAAATTCATAACCATTTAACAACAGCTAAAATATTTTATTATCTGTAATTTCTTGCATCATTTCATAGCACTACTAATACTATACTGCACAAATAGTGATTTAATAAAGGGCTGACCTCAGGGCTGCGTTTTTGGACCATTTTTGTTCTGATGAAGAGAAACACCTTTTGGTACATAAAGTAGTACATTTTTTAATTTTTTGTAATGTGAATGTGAAGAAAATTGCTCATAGATTCTTTGAGCTGCTTAGTTTGTGCATGTTGAGCTGCCATGGCTGGACTGTCAGTTTGGATGAAGATGGACCTGGGTCAACTTCAGAAGGCATAATGTGGGCAGATATTGCTGACTGAAGATACTCCAGATTGCTTGGCTTTTGTATACAATTTTTTAAAAATTATGTTGACAAATTATGCATCTTAATTGCTTCTCTGCGTTGGATGCTTTGGTAGATGATTCCCAAATATGCAGACATTGCCCTTATTTTGCCTAATAATAATTTCAGTACTCATTTTCTTATCCTGTCCTCCCTCATTCCTGTTAATTCAAAACCTTCCTGTCTCATCAAACATTATTTTAATTTTAAACTTTATTTATTTACCATTTGTTCATTTCCTCATCCAAGACCCATTTGCTCCATCAGAAGGTAGCACCAACACTGTGTCCACTGGTCTAGACCTTTTCTCCATGATGGACTCTGATACAACTGCTGCTAGCTCTTTGGACGCGTGTTTTACCTCACAACCTAGCCCCTCCCCCTCACCACTCTTCAGCTCTGCCTCCACAACCATCACAACCACCGCCACCATCTCCGCCCCCAACGCTAACCACTCCACCAACCTGTTCAGTGGTAAACCAAACATGGATCTGATTGGTTTATGTATCAGCTTGTCATCTTGCCTGGCATCTTTGCATCTGTTGAATTAGCAGAGGTGGAACATAAATTCACTTATATAGTTAAAAATGTACTTCAGTAAATGCATGTTTAATGCCAAATTACAAAACATTCCAGGCAAAGTAGAAACAGTATAGTAGAAGCAGTTGTTAAGCAGTACCCTGCACTTATGTATATAGTTAATCATGTACATGCTTATTTGAAACAATAAGGGTAATACATTATTTGAGAATTTCTTTAAACTTTAATAATCATTTTCTTAAAGGTGCACTGTGTAACTTGTTTGGTAGAGAGTCCATCACCTGCTTGTCTCCATGAAGGTGTGGCTGGAATGTTCCACAGTATGGCCATAAACTTAAGAATCTCCATGGAGATGTGTTTTAAGATATTTTTGAATATAAATAATAATAATAAACGCAAGACAGATTAGTTTAATACCATAGTGTGAACAATTTAAACAAAAGCATTAACATTTCCATGGAGACAAACAGGTTGCGGACCTTCTCCAATAAAGTTACACAGTGCACCTTTAAGCATAATACATAATGTTTGGCAGATTTCCACCTCTGACAATTTGTATAGTTTCCTCAAACCAAAATGGCTGCCGTTTCTGCTGCTTAATATTTTTTAGGATGCAGTGACCGTTATATTTAACTGGGTATGCATGTCTTTGTAGATCTCTTTAACTCTATGCCAGACACAAGCTTTGCCCAAACTTCGCCAACATCCAATGTTGACTTGTTTACAGCAGGTATAACCTCACCCAGATTCTGAATTGTGCAGTGTTAGTCTCAGATATGGCTTGCTGTGCCTGTTTTTGCTTGGAAGAACAAAGTGTGAGGCTCTCTACAGCTTGAACAGTTTTCACAATCATCTCTGCATGGTTTGGTTTGCACTGGTTGTTTTAGAGTGACTTGTAAAGGTAGTTATATGTTATGGTATCTAAACATCATCTCCACCTGCCCCTCCATATAGCGGACGTGTTCAGCTCCCCCGCCCCCCTCCTCTCCTCAGCACCACCAGCAAAATTAGACACTGGAGACATCATGAACCTGTTTGGTGGTGGGTAATGTACTGTAATACCCTTGAAGTGACTCTATTATAGATGGAAAACGCAGAGAAAATGCATAAATACTTTTATATTTGTTAGGTGATGTCTGAGCACTTACAGGTGCACAATGTAACTTTTTGGTTTGGGGACTGTCACCTGCTTGTTTCTATGGATATGTCATTGCTCTGCCTGGAATGCCCCACAGTATGACATTAAACAGCTCCTTCTTACATTTATCTCTCACAGCTAAAAAATACCTAGAAAAACATACATTCTGACTGGGAGCGGTGTTGCTGCTCCACGGATCTGACCTGAATCGTGGTCTGATTTGGTCTCCATGAAGATAGAAAGGCTTAATACCATACTATGAAACATTCTAGACAATGCAGTAACATATCCATGAAGAAAAGTGTTTGACCGGCTCTCCACCGGAAAAGTAACACAATGCACCTTTAAATTAAATTATGCTTTCTTTTCTAACAAAATGTACTGCTTAACATGTTAAACATGTTTAAAAGGGTGGCCTGGTCAAGTTGTCAGTAGCAGACAGGACTTACAAAGACAAAAAGAATGCTGTTTTAGAAATACTAATATTGTTTCACATATATTTCGGAACAACACTCTGCTGTTGAATGTAATTAAGTGAGTTTACTTTTGCATTGACTGAAGAGCATGTTCATAATGAAACTATGCTTGTGATTAAAGCACTTGGTTACTTTTAACTAATACTGCATTAAATAGAGGTTACTAACTTTGGGACACTATGTTGCATTTTGTTCTCAAAATTTTTGTTGTCAGACTAAAGAGAACCAGTATGCATTTGTGTTGTATAAAAGTGTTTTTAATTTCCATCTAATTTTGGAACACTTTTTCAGCATTAGCTGTGTGCACCTGAAGGTTGACTGTACCCCTTCTTTACCCTAATGCTGCGATGGGATTTCCTTTTGCTCCTGACCTGACAGAGTCCACTGGAGATGCCCCAGCTGCTGCCCCTGCCCCTGCTGCTGCTGCACCTGGAGCTGAACTCATGTCAGGTAACGTCCATACACTCCACACTTGTGCACTAAAGGCATGAGGTGTGAGCATTTCACTAAACCGACTGTATGTTTGACAGTTTAACACATGCATGGAGGAGATGTGAAGTCTGGATGCAGATAATTGATACTAAAACTGGGTTAAAAACTAGCTGGCTACTCATGACCACTTGATAAAATTTAAGAAACTTTTGTAATTCTATCTAGTGATAATGGATGGTAAAGACGCCAGGAGTTCACTGTAATCATTATGTTTGTTAAAAATGTGATTTTTGTTTGTATTGAAATCAAGTGGAAATTGTACTATTGTATTGCAACACTAGTCTGGTTTAGTACATTTGATTAACAGATGGATTTGTTTCTGGTACAATTTCCAATATTGTGCTTAATTAACTTAATATGTGAGAATGGATAAATTCAATTATTGCTGCAAATTTGATGAACATTTTTTTGTTTGTTATTGTGATTTTTGCAAATTTCTCTTTTAAAATTAATTTGGTGTTGTGTTAATGAGTCTGTAATCTGTAAATAATTCTGTCTTTATCTTGTATACTCATACACGTGCATGATCTCTACTTTTGTTATGTCTAAAAATGCCCTTGTTAACTACAACTTGCTAACTACTACTTCTTGCTTGCTGGTCATTTCATCTCTTCTCATTGTCCTTGAAGCTGTGTGTCCAGTGGTGTGTAGAATAGTGCCGCTGTGAGGCTCTAACCTGCTCTGTCTTTTCTCTATCATTTACATATGGTTGTCTTTGCTTTATTCTTTTTCTCTTTCTCTGGCATCTGCGCTTTTGACTCTTCCTCTCCTTCGCTGCTTCTCTCCATCTGGCTCTTGGGCTGGCTTCTTTGCTTGCTTCCTGCCATATGATTGGGTGAGTTTTCTTGCTCTCTTTCTTAACACGCTAATTTCCCACAGTGCACTGCATTGCAGCAGTGCAAGCTCTGCTGCACTGTCCTTTCTACAGATGCTTAGCTCTTGCAAAAACCTTTTAATTTGCAACGCAATTAATCAGACATTGAAGCACATATTAATAATTTTTTGGATACAACAGTGCTTTTAAGACAATTATGTAAGTTCTACCTAATATACAATGAAACCACAAATATATATCCTAGTATCATTTCACATTTTTAGTGAGCTAGATCCTGCTTTAGATTACATTAGCCAGCCGTCATCTAGCATAGTTTCTGGTGTAGTTTTTTTCCCTCTCTTTGTTGTCATGGAAACCTGAGTTGGTTACCATGGTAATCCCCGTTGTACGATGAGTGTGAGTTTTGATGCACGTGATGGTTGCTTGCTTTGGGGAATGCTTAACCCGTCCTTGTGCTTCCCTGTGCCCGCGCCTGTGCCCTCTGTAGTGTTTGATGGATTAGGAGATGTGATGAAGCCCACTGTGAACCCTCAGGCAGGCGATGTTGACACCTCCATGGCTAACATGGCGAGTAGTAAGTAGTCATTAGATATCATTGACTATTGCATGCAAACATGATATTGATGTTAATATGAGGCAAGAGACCAATATTTTGGGATGCAACATTGGCCTAAACATGCAAACACTTTGATTGTTATATCAAAATGTACCACAATATTAAAATACAGATGTCCCAAAATGTCGGTGGCCATGATAGTTATTTATGTTGTTTTCTCCATTTTAAAATAAAGCAATTGCTTATGCCGACTCTTTTGTGTGTTGCAGATCTCACAATGGGAACAGCCCCTCAGGTAGCTCCCCCCAGTTGGGGTGCCCCCATGGTAAATGTTTGTCTGTGTTTTATAGCATGGAGTGTAGGCGCATGGAAGCAACAGACAGACTTCATCTGGCTCTCCAGGTTCCACATCAGGACACTTAACTATGTTTGGGTTAAAAAGACAATACAGACAAAAGCAGTTACAGATAGTTTTGTTCAACCCAAACTATTCTGTGAAATTCTGGAGAATGATGAAGTGTCAGAAGTAGTGCCAAATGTTAAACTGTTGCTTGGATACAGCTTCTTCAGTTTTACTTCCTTCTTTAACTCTCACATTAAAAAAGCCAACACAAGTTATTCTATTGCTGGCTTTTTGTGCATTATTTATTAAAAAAATATATGTATATTTGTGTTTTACACAAAGCTACACTATTTAAAATCACCTCTGATCTGCTACTTGTTCCTTGCAAGACTGCCCTCTGCTGTTATAAACTCCATAGTGCATGTTAGAAATTTGTGTAAAATTAGTGTGAATACTTTAAAGGCGTTTGCTGTGTCTGTTGGTTTGGTCATGTCTTGTCCATTGTATCTTTTGAGTGTTTTGTCTGTCTTGTGTTTTGTGTGTTAAATGTAGCTTAGTAACATCACAACTCCTCCTCTCCCCATGCCCCCTCCATACCCTTAGAGTGCTCCTATGGGTATCCCTTGTTTTATGGGGACTCAGCCCTGCTTCAGTATGGTAAGATCATCAGCCCGTCCAGTCCAATAATGACCCCAAAACAAGGACATTAATGGACTCTTAAGGACAACGTCCCCTTTAGTGGCTGTCAAACATTTTTTTTAATTCCCATACTAACTGTGTTTATGTTTAAGGGTGGTGCACCAGGAGCTCCCATGATGCCGATGGTTAGGCCGGGCTTCCCAGCAGGCGGAGCAGCCCCTGCACCTGGAGCACCGGTACATTACTCATATTTATTTATATTCATTCACAAATGCAGAAGTGTGACCTGAACATTCTTGCTTGTAGATGTCTGGAGCTGCGCAGAGTCCGAGAAAGCCCCCTCCTCCAAGAAATGCCCTGGATGACCTCAACATTAAGGACTTCATGTAGGCAGCGGGACAGGCAATCTCAAAAGGTGGTTGTCACTGTGTAGTAAGTTTACTGTTGCCTTTAAGGTTTTTGCCCTATAAATCTATAAGGTTTAATATTCATGTTTGTGTGCTATTTGCCTGCAGGTTTGTCAATGTGTATGGAGCTTTGTGGATATGGATGTCTGCACTCCCCACTGCCTCCCCTTTGTCCCTTCAGCCAATCAGCCATCATCTATACTAACTTCACTCTTTGGCTTGGTTAAAAAGCCCTCCTTTTCCTATCTAATGTTGTAGCACAACTGTGAATGTGAACCCTAGAAACAGAAAACAAAATTCAGTTTACGTGTGTGTGGGTGTGTGTAACTCAGTGTTAACCTTTACTTAATATACTCTGGAAAATTTAACAAAAACAGATAAATGTGTATTTAGATCCATTCTCCACTTCCACATATCAGCTGACTTGAACAGTGCATACTGTATATGTTGGTTTTGCGCATTCCCCAGATGAGGACTGTGTTGTTAAATGTGGACTGTGTTCAGTGTGTGTAACTTCACCTGCCAAGGCCCACCCAGTCTCAAACTTTCCAGGAGCTAAGTATCATTCATTCAACTCTTGTTCTTTCTCTGCAACCATTCTCACCTGTTGACTTTCGGACAGTCAAATGTGACCGCATGCACTGCAAATCTGGACTTATCAAAAAACACTTCTGTGTTCTCATTTTATTATTTTTATTTACTTTCAGTGATTGTTTTGAAATCTGAGATAAATTGTGAACTGTGTTTAAACTGTATGCATTGTAGACTATTTTGACTGTAGATTTTGCATATTTTATTTACTATTTATTTTGAAATGAGGAAAAAACATATATTTTAGTTACATCAACAATTTTATGTCAGACAGAAAAGCAAGTAGATAAAAAAATCCCTTATTTTCTAGAAGATACCTGGATAATAGAGGGAATATTGAGGTTATCCTACCTGCAGTGTTATTTTACATCCTCTGCTGGTCAGTCATGGTACTACATCCATAATTCCTTAGGAGATAGAAGAGCTGAAGAGTCAGTCTACAGTGGGTCATTTGAAAAGCAGTGGCAGAGGACAGTACATTGGCTGAAGTCTTGGGGACTCTCACTGTAAAGCACTCAAGTACGCTGGTTGTTCTGTGTATTGTTTCTTTCCAAAGTGAACTGTATCTTTATCCATTGTGGCATTACAAAGTGTTCAAACAAAATAAAGATGAGTATGATTCATAAAAAAATATCAAAGAATGTGGACACATAATGTTGAATATGAAGGCTATGTTGAGTTTTTATTCCCGTGGATGGCATCACCCTCCCTCCCCATCTGCATGTGAGTCCAAATGAGATGCAATAAAAAAACAAACAAACAAAACACTGGTCCAACCATGACTCAGCACTCATCTCTGTTTGGGTTCTTTATTAAGAAGAAAACTGAATCTTTAAAACAGTACTTATGGCCCTACTTTAAAAACTAAGCTATGGATTTGTAGCAGTAATTTTCCATTTTAAAACGCAAAGCTATATTTGCAATATATAAAGCCAGAAAATAAAAAGAACACAAAAAGTATTAACAAAGCTATTGTTTATCACATAAACAACACATTTTATTTAGTTATGTTATTATTTAAAAAATGTATTTCATATTGTGAATGAATTGCTTTTCCTTTCAAGCAACCATAACAAACTGAACAGGCCTACTTAAAGGTCCACCATGTAAGTTTTTGGTTGGGGGTCTACAGTTATGTCACTGCTCTGCTCTTTATAGCACAAAAATACTTAATAAAATATAGTATACTTTACTATTTTTAATTTCCACCACTGAAATAGTCCTACTTAAAAGAAACAAGTGACAGCCACTGCCACCAAACAAATCCTCAAGAACACATATACTTAGAAATTTATTTTTAAAAATGCAACTAAAGCATCAGAGCCTTATTTAATTGTGATATGGTGGGACTGACAACATGCTGAATAACAAAATGTCCCAGCCCCTCTTATAATAACAGGAAATGTCAGTCATTTACTTTTCTGTATTGCACTAAAATACAAGTGTGTCTATGCTGTGTAAGAAAGTTCATATCTTTTTACACAGTTTTGGATCCCCATAAATCCAGTGGCAGATTTGTGCATATTTAGCGGGTGTAATTCTTACAGCTACATTATATTCCCTCAGCTCTCCGTTACCCACCCTCACCCACTGATGCCCCAAGTACACCCCGATCACCCTTCTCTGCCACTTCCCCTTACCCCCCTTCTTTCCTGCCTCCCTCCTCAGACACACATACACCCCAGCTCCTGTTGCACCTGTCTGCGCATCACAATGTTGATAAATCAGATCACTGGACTCCTTTGCCACAGAGCAGAACCTGTAGACCACTTTCTCCTTCCCACGTATATCCAAGTGACTTTTATCTGCATCAAAACTTGAAAAGTGAATTCGTCCCATTGAAGTATCATCAGGCATAACTCCAAGATCCATGTACTTTTGCTTGACGGGACGCTTCAGCTCCAGTAGAGCATAGTTGTAGTCAGAGGATAAAGAATTATTGAGACTGGCTTTATAAATCCAACCTTGGGGAAGTTTGGTTTCTTTAACTCGAGTCCACCGGAACACAGGTCGTTTTTTGGATATTACACTTAAACTACGCCTTATTCTTTTTGCCTCTTCTTTTCGTCTATTGTCTTGTTGACTGCTGCCTCTTTTACCTTTTCCTGTCTTTCGTCCATCAATTTCCATCACAATCTGATAATTCCCTCCTCTCTTCCCTCTCCTTTTATGACCTCTTCTTCTTTTGGTCTTGAGCTGCAAAACACCAACCTTGAGCTTTTTTGCATCTTCTAAGTAATCCCTCCCATTGTGGATGCAATGGGCTGCTGTCAGCACATGTTTGGGTGATACCAGGATTCCAGAACAACCAGTGGACAGGCGAACCGCAGTAGAGAAAGGGTAGTTTGTGATGAAGTGAGAGTCAGAAATAACAAATCTTCCATCTGCTCCATAGACATGTCTCTTTCTGCGTGCGTGGCCTCCTTGCGTGTTGTCAGTCACACTGCTTTGGTTAAAGTCCAGTAGAGTAATATATGTGTGTGTACATGTGCCGTTTTCATGCAAAGTTTCATATCCCAAAAGTCTTTCTTGTTGAGGTTGGTCCAAAGGCGGTAGGTTACTCTGACATTCAATACCACAGAAATCTCCTGACTCCCCATCTCTTTTTTGTTTACTAAATGAAGGAGAGATCAAGGATGCTGTATTTGATTCTAGCAGAATTGGGAGGTTCTGTTCAGTCCAGAAGTATGCCTTGTTGTTATCATTATTTCCATGGACACCAGAAATAGTCAGGGAAGTTGTGCATAGTAGAAGACATAATGTGTGTTTAAGGTCCATTGTCCTAGAAAGAAATACAGATTTTAGAATTTAAAAACTCCAATCTAAGAAACAACACATGCAGCAACAACATTCAGCATTCCCATAGATGCCTGCTTGAACCTAAATAAATTCTTTAAAAGCCTATGCACATACACTAGTTATCAATCAATCCATATGAAACTGATAAAAAAAATGCCTAACTTCACACCTCTGTTTGGTATAGTTATGATTTAGAAGTAATATTGTAATAAGTAAGAAGTCATTTGACAGCAGCTTTCACGTGTAAAAATAATAACAATACAATAAAAATAAGTAGGGTAATCAAAATAAATATTAACGACCAGAAGAGGGCGCACGAAACCAACACTCAAATCAACATTTTAAATCTAGTCAGTCTGAAAGAAACATTTCGATGTTCATGTAATTTAAATAGCAGGTCTGTTTTTTTGTATTTAGTTTAAACATACCTTAAGTTAAAGTCAACTGGGCAATATAGATTACAGCACGCACATTTTTACAATTCAAACACAAGGTAGCATGCGTAATATAGTTTTGTTCCTACCTTCACTGTTAAAATGTACTTCCTTTGAATATTGTTCTTCTTAGCGGTATAAAACGTGTTGCATCCCGACAGCATTCCAAAGAATGGTCCCCATCATTTTCACTGCGCTAACTTCACTTCAATCTACATCCCACTGGCAAACTAAAAAAAAAAACAAAAGGAGGCAGGGCGCACGCACGGATGAATGAAGTTGCCAATTTAAAGGGATAGTAAGTAAAACGTGATGGATCTGTCCCCATACGAGGAAGAGTTACAATAAAATATAAACATATAAACAATTTAATAACACCACTTTTTGCATACCACATTGCAAATGACCTAAACCTACATAGTTAATTAATATTTGTAAACTGGACTGTAGGCGACTGTATTGGACCTGACTGCACTTGCACTTGTAGTCAGCGTCCATCGGGCGTTATTAGACTGACGCACATCCTGACCACAGACTCTATAAATGATCCTGAGGCAGACCCGAATCATACTAGCTTCTGCTCATCAGGGTCCAGGATTGGATTTCCAAAACCTTTTAATATGCATTAATAGGCTCTATTCACGCTTACGTCACAAACCAGGAAGACGTTTGGAAACATGCGATAACAATTTCCGGTGTGCTCTGTTCACTGTAGTAACCATGGATCTATTAAAATAACTGGATAGGGTATTGCTAGCTTGTAGCTGCTTCCAGTTGAGTAGTGGCTACTCACTGGAACATCAGTGGAAAAAATCCCTTGGGCCGAGACAAGATTTTTCTCATAGAGCGCAATGAAATCACAAACTGCTCATGTTCGGCTGACAGGGCGCCTACAACTTTCCAAAATGTCAGATTTGTTGTCAGCTCAAAACCTTTCAGTTGTCTTAAAAAACTCTTTATAATCATTAGCTTTAGCTCCGCTCTAGCTCCTCTCGCTCCGATTGGTCAAAGTGATCACGTGATACACGAGCCCACGTTTTGTGTATGCACTCGCATGCATTCGCATGTGGCCGTGGGAAAAAAGAGCACTACTGTGCATGCTCGGTCGGCCCACAGCCACTGGAAGTACCTGGCCGGGCTAGGCTAATTTGGGATCATGCACGATTGAGCTCGGCCCATTGAATTGAATGGGCTGCCATTTTGAAACCCTGGAGCTAGGTAGTAACTCTAGGACAAAATCTAGGAAAAATTTGAAAATAGCCCAGTTTTCTTCATCCACATGTCATTGTAGCATTCCGTTATGTTTGGCTAATCAACAGGCATATGTGGGAAATTATGTGGTGGGCCATGCTAATTCACCTAATATTATGGACTTTGGAATGACAACAGGGTGGAAAACACGTATGACTATCTGTAGGTCTATATAACATGTTATTTCTGTACTTGGAGTGTCATAAAGAACATGTTTTTCTGGACTTTGAGATGCCACGGAGCAGAAAAACTGACATATGTGGTCCCCGTGGCATGTTTCCACCCATGATAAGGTGTACTGGGTCAGCAGTATTGTTCATTTTCTTGCTGTATATGCTAAATCAACAAGTTAATGTTTTGTCAAGATGTAGTATAAAGCTACCCCTGAGTTTGAGTTGGGAGAGGTGTCGTCCGGGGTGGCAGTTGTACATGGTAATCAACTTGAATCCTCTCAATGGAAAATGACGAAATAAAGTGGCCTGTTCTCTCGGATTCTCCATCTCTCGTGCTTCTTTTTAGGACACGCATGGAACCTTCCGAAAACCCGCACATACCTCAATTTTCATCATTTCCCCACTGACGCACAACTCAAAGCGCACTGGGTACATGCAATTAGAAGAGATGAGGGCGCCAAATTCAAGATTATTCCAAACAATACATTCGTATGCAGTCTTCATTTTACTGCTGATGAGTGGGGCCTGATGCAGAATTATTATTTACTGGTACACTGACCAGTAAATCAAAAGCTTTACCTTGAGACTCCTTCTTCACCACATCACAGTGACCACATTACTGCAGACGCTGCACCGAACCGCCTGTGAAGCTCATCCCCAATCCTTTCCTCACTTGTGAACAAGACCCCGAGATACTTGAAGTCCTCCTCTTGAGACTGGAATTCTCCACCTAACTGGAGAGGGCAAACCACCTTTTTCCAGTCGAGAACCATGGCCTCGGATCTGGAGGAGTTGAACTTTGTCCCAGCCACTTCATACTTAGTTGCAAACCATCCCTTTGCATGTTGCAGGTCCTGGTTTGATGAAGCCATCATGCTTCCCCCTCCTGAGATGTCAAACGGTTTGCCAGAATTTCTCTGAGGCTGGCCAATAGTCCTCCTCCATGGCCTCTCTGAACTCCTCCCAACCCCGGGTTTTTGCCGCTATGACTGCGCTCACTGCGGCAAGCTTGACCTGTTGATACCTGTTAGCTGCGTCAGGACTCCCACAAGCCAACAAGGCTCAATACGATTCCTTTTTCAGCCTGACAACACCCCTTACTTCCGGCGTCCACCACCAAGTTCGCGTTGACAATGGAGGTGGACAGCATGGTCCACTCAGACTCCATGTCCCTAGCCTTCCCCAGGATCTGGGAGAAGCTCTCCCGGAGAGAGGGCTCTACCAGATGTCCCAAAACAGACCCTCATCATGGGTCTGCCAGGTCTTTCCTGTTTCCTCCTCTGCTAACAGATCCAAGTCACAACCAGGTGGTGATCGGTTGACAGCTCTGCCCCTGTCTTCACTCGAGTGTCCAGGACACGTGACCAAGGTGAGATAACACAATAATAAAATCGATCATCAACCTCCGGCCTATGTTGTCCTGGTGCAGCGTGCACTGATGGACACACTTGTGCTCAAACATGGTGTTTGTTATGGACAAACTGTGACTGTTCAGAGAAATCCAGTAACAAAACACCACTGAGGTTCAGATCATGAAGGCCTGTCTTCCTGACCAACACATGGCGGATGATCTGTGGGGCTATAAGCAAGCCCACACTAGCCCGCAACCGCTCCATGTGGGCAATGCCAGAAAAATGGAGAGTCCAGCCTCTCTTAAGAAGGGGTGTTTCATTCAACTCAAATATTTGCAAAATGCAGGTAGTACCAAAAGAAGCATTTAGATGTACAGCTATTTGCACAGTGGTCTCTTCTTCAGCATAAATCCACTTCTCTACGCTATTGCAAGAAAATGTAAAAACCATAACCCCAACAAGATTAAATAATTTACACTAGTTTAAAATTCTTATTACTTCCAATTTTGTATCGTGTGTGTATTTTTTGTAATGCTAGCATTTTGAGACCAAACCAAATATTTTCTGTTAGCATGTATAATAAATACATTTAAGTTCCTGCTCTGGGTTAAGTCATTAAACCTATGACCCCACCTGGCAAAGGCAGTAACAATGACTGCAAGGTCTAGAGTAGAGTAGAGTTTTGTTTTTGTTTTTTTAATTGGTGCTCATTGTTTTGACTTTAACTCAGTTTAATTTGGCAATTTTTAAAGCTACAGCAGTTTCTTAAAGCTACCATGTAACTTTGACAGTAGATCTAAGATGACAGATGTGAAACCTGTTCCCCTTTCCTCTGACATGGCCTTTCTTCAGGCTCACCTGTGTTCTCTGCTCTTTTTCTGCCAATGGTGGCACTCTATCAGTCAGAAGTAACATAGGTAGCGTCTCGAGGTGAAGTGTGAAAATAAACGATAAAGAAACGATAATCGGTTGACCAATCTAATTACAGATGGTAGCTTTAGCTAGGTGCATTTAGTATTATGTTTCTAAACATCATATTGTTGAATTAAATTTGTCATGGAAGGGTGGTGGGGACCAAGAAGAAGGCCATGACAGGTTATGATTAGGATCAGTCTCCAGGAAATGAATGTCAATAATATAGTACCTGCACATAGCATGGAAAAATAACGTGTGTGTCTTCTTGTGTATATGCAAACCTGGCAGTGAGATACACCCATTGCTTTGAAAACAGTTGGCAATGCTAAATTCAGATAAGCTTCTTTACATATATTTGGATGAGATGTGCTAATGTTGCCAAAATGCTATGTAGCTAAAACAAGCCTGTCATTTTCCTCAGATAACTGACCTCTCTGCAGCAGACATGGACCACCTGAACCTAACCTCTGCTAATCTCACCAACTCCTCAACTGTAGGACCTCCATTTTCAATTTCTGGTTTAAGAGCTCTGGTCCCAGTAGGACTAATGTCCCTATGCTTCCTTGTGGGAATCCCTGGGAATATAGCAGTTTTAATCCTCAGACCAAACTGGCAGCAGCTGTCCAAACTGACTCAGTGTCTGATGATGAACCTGGCCATGTCTGACCTACTGTGCCTGGCCACCCTGCCTATGTGGATCTACGCTGTACTTTATGACTGGACCCTAGGCGTCGCCACCTGTAAGATTGTTGGTTTTATAGTTCATTGTAGTATCTACAGCAGTGTGCTGACTATAACTGCTCTGAGTGTCCAGCGCTACATTCAGGTTGTGCATCCACAGAGATGTCTCCAGTTCAA